CTGAACCAACAAGGGAATACAATGAAAGGAACGCAAAAGCGTGCATACACAGGCAGCTCGGAGTACCCGGCACTTATACGGCAGTAATTTAGAACGAGCGCGTTATTCTATAGTGGCAAGATTCGTGACGCCAGCTGTTTCCTTGACGTCATGGATGAAATAAGCTCTCGATTGGTCGATATACGAGATATAGATATATGTTGAAAATTGTCTCCTACCCTGCTTTGCCATGCAGCCGCATGCCCGTTCTGCCTTGTCCGGAATCAGCTATCGTGCGCGATAAACTTATTTCACTATGGCGTCGTGCAGTCGAGAAGCGCCACATCCCGACTGGCTCAACGCGTGGTGCCGACATCCCACGAGTTTTATGAAGAAAAAAAGTGAAGAGGAGGAAGGAGCACTTGTAGCGAAGGCGAGAATGAAACCACTGCCTCGCCTTGAACTCGCTTTGGTTTAGGGGCCCTTTAAGGCAATACGAGGTCAGCAATCTGCTGTCCGCGGGTCGGCACGGCAGTTTGACCTAAAATGGTATTTTCGCTCGCGACTTGTTTTGCTTTGCAACATGCGGGCTGAAAACTAACGTAATTTCTAATCTAATTTTGGAAATTAATGTTCAATCACCCGTGGTTTATCTCTTCACCTGCAAAACCGTCCTCTCCCCCCTCCGATTCACTGTACGCCCCCCCCCCCCGCTGAGTCAGCCTCATGCAACTCTTCCGCCTGAAGAAGTTGCGGACCCGGACCCCCTCCCACCTTAATAAAACGCGATCCACAACACACCTGGGCAACACGAGCAGCGCCGCCGACGGCACCAGGTGAAGCTGCTCGAGCGTCTTGCGGTAGTCCTCGCGCGAGAACTCGCGCAGCGGGTTCGTGCGCGCCATGGTGAACGGGAAGCACGTGGGCAGCACCCTGGCGAGCAGTTCCTCGGTGTACCAGCGCACCTCGTCCAGGTACGCGGACGCCGGAAACGACCGGAGCACCGAGCTGCCGTCCGGCAAGTTGAGCACGATGTTCGCCTTGTCGGCGCCACATAAGGCACCGCCGCAGCCGCGAATCGCCAGCGGCGTGTAGCTTGCCGACCTGCCGACGTTGTTGCCTACTCCGGACGTCTGCGACGCTTGGGCGCTCGGAGAACGACCACCGTTGACTGCCAAGCGACTCGCCGATGGCCGGTTACGAAACAGGTTCCGGACGTTCGTGCCGGACAGCGAGACGCGATGACAGGCGTTCGTGCTCGCGACAGCGGTCTCAGAGGCGTTCGCCTTTGCCTCGTCCTTGACGCCGTCTGCCTTCTGGTCACTGATGGTAACGTGGACGCGCTGTTTGCCCGGCAACCCCGCAGGGGCCGCTGTCGTTTCATCGCTGTCTTGGGCTGCTTTCGCTTGTGCCTTTGGGGCAGAAATATATTTTTTTTCGCTGAGAACGATGTTCCTTTAAAAAATAATTCAGTATCTCGGCGTAGCGTATAAACAGCAGAGCGTTCTGTACATTAGTAAAGGTGGACATGATGATATACACTTAACGTGAATGGACAAAAGTGTCTGAGGACAGACGTTTTCAACTGGGCTATGACGTGTCACCAGTCTGAGTCAAGCATTGTCTCTTCCATCGTTATTACGTCCAGCCTAAAGGCCCGCCTGAATGACAGCGAACCATACATAGAAGTAAAGAAAAGCATCGCCTCTGTGGTGCGATGCCTCGTAACGATTCGCTCACTGGCCAAGCAGACGCAAACACTGTTACCCGCTCAAGTAATCCTCGTACCAATCCTCATGTGGCGTTTATAATGCACTGTTTTCGAGACAAAGTCAAATTGCGACTAGTATGACGTGAGGTGGAAAAGATGGATGTGCGAATCAGCTTTCAGGTCAATTCTATAATATTTTCTCGGGTTTCAAGCGCCAAAGTGACGATACGATTGTGAGCCATGCCGTAGTGAAGAGCTCCGTAAATATCGGTCACGTTGGCTTCTTAGGCATGCAGGTAGATCTCAGTACACGGGCTTCTAGCATTTCGCCTCAATCTAAACGTGACCGCCACGGCCGGGATCGAACCCGCGACAGTTCGGCTCAGCAGCCGAGCACCGCAACTACTGCTTACAATGGCGGTATTTCAGTATAGGCAGATACTGCTCTCTGAAGGCCCTCATTGGTACAAACCTTGGCGACGTTGGTGTGCGACTGCACCACCGACGCTGAGAGAGATGGTGGGGCCTTCCACGTCGTTGAGCGTGCGGAACAGGTTGTTCAGCGACTCCTCGAGGGCGCCCGCCCGGTGTAAGCAGGGTACGCCTGGACGCCGTGCGAGCCATCTCGTCCATCCAGTCGGTCTCGACCCTGAACGTCCGAGGGTGTCCTGCGAGCCATCAACTCGTCGTCCACGGTCTCGTCGTCACCGTCGCTATTCAGGAGTCGCTCGTACGGTGGGCATTCGGCCCACTGTCACCGCCCTCCGGTCTCCTCTCGGTCGCGAATGCGACGGCGGCGCCCTCTTCGACGGCATGGCAGCGCTGTCGTCGCTCGTGCGGTGCGTGGGACCGAAAACAAGCGGGTCTTCCCGTTGAGAGTTGCTGGCCGTGAGAAACTCCTTGCTCCTGTTGGGGCTGGAAGACCTCTGGGCGCTCTTCCGCGACCGGTGAGAATTGCGATTTTGAGCCATTGTGACTTGAGTCATCTGCTTCGAAGGCAGCTGCGGCCCTGAAAGTGGCGCAGGCACCGTTTCACACGGAGCCTCCTTCACGGATGACTTGTGGGACGTCTCCTCGGGGGCTTTCTGGACTTCCGCTTGAGTAAGCACTACTGGAGTCGGATGAAGAGGCGGCGGCGGCGGTGTGGGCTGGCGAGTCGTAAGACCCGACTCGATGGCTCCGGTTTCTTCTTCGGTGATCGTGTCGATTCCCGGTCGTAAACGAACGACGCACACTTCCTGGTCTAGGGACACTGTTGGCAGCGGTGGCGGCGGCGCGGACATCTGCGTTTTCGGCCACCCATTGTTCTCCGGAGAGCTTACCCGTGCGTCGTTCACTGGTAGCAGCGGCGGCTTGGACGGCGAAGCGCTCTTGGACCTCTTCGCTTTTCTATCAGACGGCACCTTCAGGTCCTGTGAGGTGCCGCCAGCAGCGGATTCGAAATGCTTAATCTTCTGGGCGAGTTGGCCGAGGTTTTTGTCCGGCTTTTGAGTCGAAGACCCGGGCGCAGCAGCAGCATTATCGGCCACTTTTTTCGAGGACGCCGTCGTTTTCTTCGAGTCGCCCTTGGGGTTTTTCGTCGGGGAATCGTGGCGCTTCTTCCGTTTCTCGGAGTCGTGCTTGGCTTGCTGCTGCGGCGACTGCAACGACGCGTCCGAATCACGCTGATGCTTATGGGAACGAGTGCCCGAAGAACGTCCTCGCTTATACGCCGAAGTGTCTTTGTCCCCGACCTGTTCAAGAACGCCCTCTTGCAACACATCTAACACTTCGGGGGCATCGCCCACGTTGGCCTGCACGTTGTCCAACTGGCACGATCTCCTTGAAAGAGTCTGCTGGTTGCCTCTGCCTTTCCTTCTTGGCGTGAACCTCGACTGTTTTGACCGGAGGCGGACGTCTCGGATTTTGTGGCTTCCTGCTTGGCCTTCGGCCTGTGAGAGGACTCGACGGGTCTGCGCACGTGTGCCTTTGGCGTCTCCGCGGCCGGCACTTCCGGGGGCTTGCCGTCGGAGTGCTCATGCTGCGAGCTGCCCAGGACTTTGTCCGCGAACTCCTGCGCGAGCACGGCGAATTTTATTAACAGCTCGGGACCGTCCGCGATCACGTCGCACAACATCGAATCGGCGCCCTCTAGCGTTACCGGATACGCATCGCTGACGGGTCCCTGGTTTGCGCAGACGGCTGTTGCTGCCGGAGGCGGTGGTGGAGGAGGAGGAGGCGGAGGCGGCATGGTCGCGTTGACCTCGTCGTCGTCCTTGGTCTTGTGCGATCCCGGGCGCACCTGGTCAGTTCGCACCGTTGTCAACGGCGTGCTCGCTTTTGTCACCTGGAAGGTCAACTGGAAGGGACTTGCCTTTCTGGTCGACGTCGGCTCCTCCGGCGAAGTGCACCCTCGCTGCATACTTGTACCTCCAGGTCTTTCTTCTCCTTGCCGTCTCCCATGAGCGACGCCAGGTCCCCGGCCAGCTCTCCATGAATCTGCGCCGTCGCGACCGTGGCCACCGACACAGACGTCGTCTCTTCCATGGCGGCTAGTTTCTGGAGCAGGCTGTTGTACGACCGCTTGTCGTCCATGTTAATCTGCGTCGCCTGCTCCGCGAGCACAACGATACTAGTCTGCACGTTGGCCTCCTGCCTCTTCAGCTTCTTCTTGGAGCGTCGCTCTCCGCCCTGCTGTGTTTTTTGATGGCGCCTTCAGTCGGCGGTTGCTGCTGCTGAGAAAGCGGTCCGGGGCCATTTTCTGCAGTGACAGGGAGTCGAGCGGCGGACGACTGGCGGTTAAGGCGCATCATGCGGTCGACGGACAGGCTCGCCTCGCTCTGGTTTCGCATGTCCGAGTCAACCTTCTTGACGTTGCACGACTGCAATGAGCGCCGCGAGCCGGTCGCCGAACAAGACCGGGTCTGTGAAGCCGACGATGGAGGCCTCGAGGTTGCCGCGAGAGCTGATAAAGAAGGTGGACGGGATAGCGGTCACCGGGTACACGAGCGTGAACTGGCGGCAAGCGTTGCTGTTTGCGCGTAGCCGGATGGGGACGCAGCTCATTATGTCTAGCAGCTTGTTCACCTCGGCGTCGTCGAAGGTGGAGCGCATGTTCTGCGACGCCAGGTCGTCTCCCTCGATGAACACCAAGAGGAGGACGCGTCGGCTGTGGGCCTCGGCGAATGGCCTGCAGCATGTTTCCGCTGAACCACCTCATGGCGATTTTTTGGGGGTCGGGAGGGATCCCCCTCCCCTGTGGCACCGATCCTGGTGAGGTTTACTGTTTACTCACGCCATCGCTGGGCCCTAATTTCGTCCAACCGAGTAGATGCCTCCACTGAGCGGGAATTTTGCTCGGCCCATGATGGCCGACCCGGATTTCCTCTTCCTCATCTTCTACGCCGCCATCATTAGTGAGAGCATACTGTAGCATATGATCACCCTGAAAAGATTGGCACATACCCACTTAGGTGATGGGTTCGCCAAGGGTCATCGGATCATGTGGTGTCACGTGTCCGTACCGCTTGGTTTTAGTGATGCAAGTAGTTACATCACAGGCTTACATAGGTACGCTTTTGTCGCCTCCTGCAAGCCGGCCTTCGCCACAGTGACCCGACCATCTATGACCGCTGGATACACAATAACAGATTTCACACTGACACTGCTGCACTTCGTGCACACACCAATCTTATGGCACGCATCTAATTCACATGTCGCGTAACCTTTGAAACAGAGGACCATTCAGAAAGCAGGCCATTGGCGATTGATTAAATTTATTTAACTAACTGCATCTGCTTCCTTCCCTGTGTTCCAGCTCATAAGCCCCCCCCCCCCCTCCAAATGACAATAGTTCAGTTGAAGTATAACTGTCAGACCTAGACCATAGCAATCCCAAAGGTTTTCTTCTGATCGGCGAAAAACGTAGGCAGGCCAGCAAAAAGCTTTCAGTTATTTCCGCCTGGTTGCAAAATAAACATAGAGGAGAGATCGCCGGACCAGCTCGGTGCATGTATAGATTTACAGTAGGAACTTATTAAAACGAATTACAAGCTATGGGTACCCTTACCATTGCACTAGTACACTAGTAAAATGCACGTCCGGCGGTTCTGGCCGAGCGGAAATCACTGCATCGATCGATGATGCATGAATGAACCTAAAATTTGTCCTACATAACTTCAAAGTACTTAGTGGGCGTGCTAATTGACCGTTTATTAAACGAAATGTCGAGCTAGAGGTTAAAAATAAATACAGTTCTTTTTTTACTATAGTGACGGCCGAGAACCCCTTATGTTACATTCCAGGAATGGTTTACTTTCCACAATTACCACTACAAAACTGGCGACAAAAAATAGGAACCGTTGTGAACAGCACGTCATTGCTTCATCTGTCTTTATGCGGAAATTGCAAATCGTGTTTTTTGCTTGTTTGTTTTGCCTGCACGCCTAGAAATACTCAACGAAGCGGGCGGAAAATCGTATTCGCCAAGATATCTGAGGACAAACTATACTCGCATATTTGAGTCTTGCTAACACGACAAAGCACCTAAAGGGCCCCAGACCAGTTCCGATAATTTTTGGACATTCAAGTAAACGCACGCATCGACTTCCGAATGCCGCCACGATCAGCAATGCAGAAGGTGGCAGCGCTACGAGCCGAGGGCGCTTTCCAAATTCGAAGAAAAAAAATCCATTCTCATCTGCGGGCTTTTAGCGTTAGCCGTGACATCAAGATGCTCGTCTATCCACGTCATCCACCCAAGCGGCCCGCTTGTCTGCACGCACGTAGAGCGGTCACCACTCTTCCTCCTCGCAACGTAAGGAGGGACACTCGGCCAGGAGGAGATCACGAGCCGACAAACGGAGCACAGCGAAGAAAAGAGTGAAACGAACTTCATGACAGCAAACACGTGTAACTCCGCTATTACGGCACGGTTTCGAAAAATTCTCACAGCTACGTACGTTCGTTGCAGACTCCCGGACAACTGCACCACGACAACTACATCTTCTCCTCTGGGTGTTTTAGGGGCCTCTTAAGCTACGGCTAGCTTGGGGACGAACTAAGGCGAGCCCTATTGTTTATCTCCGCAGATGCGCGCTTCGCGCGCGTCCGATGCAGCCTGCCTCTTGGTCATCGGCCTGCTGGCCTCCCTGTTCTTCCTTCTGGCCGAATGCAACGACGCCGAAGAGCAGCAGCAGCAGCGCGAGCTCTGCATGGAGCACCCCGCAACTGTGGCACAGCAGCGCGTCGTCCAAAGACGGAAGGACGTTCACGAATTCGCAGGTGAGTCGAATAGCATACAGGTATAACCAAGGTCTTAGAAAGCTCAGGAACGTGGGTATAAGCGAAGCTATAAGGGCAACACTGATGACAAGAGTCTTAGTCCATTTTTCTTACGATCACTCAAGGGACCTAAGTTTCGCTTAGATGCTCTTACGAAGACTGCGGAATGTTTGGCCTTGACGCATTGAGTTGTGCGGTATATGGCGGATGCAGAGAAGGAGCGTTTTGACTAGACAGTGTTGATGCGGCTCTCGGAGCCGGCACGTTATGGTAATAGAGAGGCTTCCACGGGGACGGGGTCTCGATGTGGAGAGCACCACGCTCTTGGAGTGAACGGACACAGTAGACACGGTCGGAACGAACCAAACAACACACATTTATTTCACTACTCTTAGATGGACGATATCGTCAGCCGAATTATTATAACATCAATTGTGATCCACACGCTAACCAACCTTACACAAAATTACACAACACTCAAAAACATAACAAACACAAGAACACACACAAGGTGGGTTCGCCAACGCTTGACTTACCACGAGGGCCCCCGGCGCGCAACCCGCGGTGCCGCGCACCGGGGACCCACGCTAGATGCAACCATTCGCGCAAACCGCCACCCGCCAAATAGGGTCGCTCATATCTCGGGTGCCGCCACGAAGGCCTTCCTCCAGGCGTCGCTGCCAGACATATCGGGCCAAATACGAAGAGGTAGACACAGTATACAGTGCGTGTGGAGAGGAAGAAGAAACTGCCGAACACTTGATAATGTTCTGCAAAGGGCTTCGCCCTATAGTTCAGAATGATGGCGCAGAGTTTTTCAAAGCACTGGGGTTTAGGGACAGGGAGGGCAAAATAGACTTTAAGCGGGTAGAATTAACTAAAAGGAGGTTAGCTGATTGGTGGCTAAAGTCAAGGCACGAGTGAAAATCAAACCCTTCACTGCAAAGTACGAATCCTCAACCTCGCTATATAAAGGGGAAAAAAAAGATAAATCTAGTGGTTAGTTCACTAAGTATTACGGCTAGGTGGCGTTAGCCGCCGCCCGATCTAAAGGGTACAGCCACATCCATCCATACATCCATACTAACCATTATGACGATGGTGATGGTGATAAACGCTCGCGAGCACAACGCGCCCTACCACACGGTAGTTGCAAACCCGAAATGCGGCCTATGCGCGAGACACGTGCGCCATGAGGCGCAAACTACTTTACAGGGGGTGTTAGCACCCCTCTCAGGGTTCGACAGCACTGACGTTCTCTAATATGTTCTTGTCTCGGTTTACTCTTGAATTTTCGATGATTCACATGTACCAACTAGCTCGAATGTCTTTCTGTCTTACTCGAGGTTCTTGTTCCCCTTCTAGTGTGGCTCACACCCACTATAGAAGATGGGTCAAGAATTGAGTGGTCTTATACGAACTTTACAATAATGGAGGTTATAGAATAAAAAGATTACAAACTTTATATGAAACTTTGATGCTCGCTAAAATGTACAAAAATAATACTTGTTTAATCAATGTTTCTTCCTCCTCCTGTGACGACGAAATTAACCAGAGGGGTCTCACAAAATAAGTTATATGTGTAAAGTGATGAACTGTTCCTCTCTAGCGGCCCGTCAAAAGACCACTTAAGTAACTCATGGGTGGGTGTCCTGACCCCCTTAGTGTTCAGGCTGGGGGCGGGGGAAGACACCTCTTGCAATTGTCCCTCCCACCCCCCACCCCCCCTGCGCCTGTGGAAATTGATCTTTCGAACATCCACCGCGAGGCCCTTCCAAACAGCAGGACAAATAAAACCTACAATTCTAAAGAAAACGCTAGGCCTGCGAGAAATACGCAACACAGTCATAGCGAAAGCCGAAGGAACGGTCTTTCTAGAAGCCGTTGTGCCGGGACGTACAGTTGAAAGATACTCACTACGCCGTAAATCATAATTTCGCTTAGTTAGGGTAGCATCCGTACACTATATATGCTAACATTCAACATTCTGAGAAGAAGCGAGATTACCCACAGCGCGTCTGTAAGGCATAATATGCACTTCTTTAGGCTATAAGGAGAATGAAGAATCATGACTGAGCTTTTTATTATGGGTGTACCAATTTATATGCTTGTTTTCTATGTACACATTCTGAATACTTAAAATTCAAGAATTTTCTTGAAAACTACCCAGATTTTGGTCAATCCACCAGCGTGGGTATGTGCCACGGATACCGTACCCAACTCAACTGTGCAGAAAGCTCAGCCATAATTCATACTACTCTACCACGAGATTTAACGTGGTTTCTTGCCCGACATGAGGTCCCAGTAGTTTCTTTCTTTTTTTTTCTTTGCGATTGAATTTCTAACACTGATGATCCTTGCGGTAGAACACTCGATGACTACGCAGAGGGCCCCCACCAAAATAGGCTGTTATATCATAAACACAGGCGTGCGCACGGTGGGGGGGGGGGAGCAAGGAGTCACACCCTCCCCCTTGCCACCTGAGAAAGGACGCAATGTCTGTCTCATACATTGACTTAATAGGGAAGGGGGGGGCGCTGCGACAAACTTTAGTCCCCTCTTGGAGGCGAACCCCAAGCACGCCTATGCTATGACAGCTTTCGTTGTGCACTTCATCTTAATGTCACACCTGCCACGAAAATACTTCGTTATATCAGAGAATTCGTTATAAACGCGTATTTTAGCACCTTATAGAGCTATTCTCTATTTGCTTCGTTATAACGAATTTGTTAAATTGGGGTTCGTCAAGTTGAGGTTTGAGTGTGTAACAAATTGGCCGCCATGGCAAGGTGTGTACGCCCTTCCCCTCTCGTGATTTTTTTCGGACTTACGTCACTGAAAAATGGTGTCACAACATCGCACTACCTCCCCACTATATGTATATCCGTTCACCTGATCCGTGCCGATGACGCGCCAGCGCGCTCTGTGGCCCCTGGCGGCGGCCTCGCAGGTGCTGGCCTTCAACGTGTCCAACTTCGTGGCCGTCATGTTCCTCAAGGCGCTGCTCGTCGCGCTGGGCCTCGCCACGGGATTCAGCGGTTTCGGACTCTACACGGCCAGGCGCACAGATCCACCGCACGAGTTCGCCGCGTTTCAGTACCACCCGAGGCGGCCATCTTCGCACCCAGCGTACGAGCCGCCCGAAGACCACGGACACATACGGTACGCGAGGATACTACTTACATATCCAACCGCCTACAATGGGAGCCGATAGAGGGAAACGTTAAGTGGACAAGTTGAACGAACAGGAAAAATCGATTTGCGGGGTTTAACGTCCCAAAACCACCATATCATTACGAGAGACGCCGTAGTGGAGGGCTCCGGAAATTTCGACCACCTGGGGTTCTTTAACGTGCACTCAAATCTGAGCACACGGACCTACAGCATTTCCGCCTCCATCGGAAATGCAGCCGCCGCAGCCGGGATTCGAACCCGCGACCTGCGGGTCAGCAGCCGAGTACCTTAGCCACTAGACCACCGCGGCGGGGCGAACCGGAAAAAGTGCACCAGACAGGCCAGCCTGTCTCCTGTGTTCGTTCAACTTGTCAAAACATAAGAAATGTCACGGCGAAAAACGCAACTTTTATTCGGACGTTTCGGTCGGGGACTGATAAAGGCCGGTATCGGGACGAAACGTCATGTTTGACACTGCTACTTTCTATTCATATCCTTACCCGAACAATCAGGATATAAATGGCTGAAAACCCTAGCAACGGCTACGAGACGGCTTTATTCGACGTTAAGAACGGAGTCCGGTCTTCATTAGGAATTAGTGTATACCGAATGTGTTCACTTGTATTTAAACCACTGTATGCGCACAGAAAATCCGACCGACTCCTTCCATAACTTTCTTACTACTTTCCTTTCCTCCCCCCGTTTTTTGCACATAATACAGTTGAAAAGTCGAATGAACCTTTTTTTTTTGTTGTTGTTGATGTTGTAAAGACCTGCTTACAACGCAACACGGTACGACCGTTGTCAGAGAATTCTTCATTCTCTGACGAAGGCCGTGCCACGGCCGAAACATAATTCATGAAGTGATTGGTTTCTCGAACGTGTGTACCTGCTTTTCTTCGTGTACGTGCCTACCATATATATATATAAGTGAGAGAAGTGTATACCTAAGGGCTCGTATTTCCGTGTTTTAACACAATATTAATGAGATATAACAGACAGTAATGCCAAGGAATGTACAGGGGAAGTTATTAGAACCAATGGAATGTAAATAAGAAGAAATAAGAAAGAAAAGTGGATGAAAAAATTACCAGCTGTGAGCAGGAATCGAACCTACGACCTTCGAATAACGCGTTCGGTGCTCTAACCACTGAGCTATCACAGCGGCCGCCCCCCCCCATCCACTTTTTGGGGTTTATATGGGAATTTAGAAGTAGGAGTGACAGTCAGCGCCATCTATAAGCCAAACAACGAGTGTGAAAACACTCTTATTATATATATATATATATATATATATATATATATATATATATATATATATATATATATATATATATATATATAATGATCCCTCGTGCAGGTGGGCGACCACGTACCTGTCTTCCCTGAATACGGGTGACTACCGGTGCCTCAAGAGGATTGCGTGCGAACAGCCAGAAAGAGCTCGATTTTACGCAGGTCTGAAGGACACAATTGTTGCCGCACTCAGGATGGTTCCGTGGTGAGTTCTATAGAGTCTAAAAGACTCTGCAACATTTTTTCGGCATGGTCAGAAAGCGTTGCCGATCGGCAGTCGAGGCTCGTGAGAACACGCGTGCCAAAAATCATAGCTCAGCGCGCGGCCCAAAATTTACAATAAATTTAGGAGGCCTAGGCCCGGCCACCTAAACCTGCTGGTTTCTGATAATAAAGTTTGATCCTCCTCCTCCTCCAAAGTCAACCAGAAATAGTTCCCTTTTCAGTCTACAAATGATAATACGCCAATAACCGCTTCATATACCCAATGTCAAGGCCGCTAGCCGATTTGAGCATCGCGAGCTGGATAGTTACCAAGGTGGCCGCGGGAGGCCGCCACGTGCCTGCGTGTGCTCGCGATTCCACTGAAAGTAAGCTACGCGTTCGAAAAAAGTAAAAAGAAAACAAGAAGTGCCGAATGTCATTACGCAGAAGTTATCTTTTTTGTTTATTTAACCCGAGCCATACCTCCCTGCGTCGTTTCCTGCGCGCTCTTCCGGAAGAGATAAGAAAGCAATTGCAGCGTGCGACAAATATCCAACTTCGCTAGAACTGGGTGGATTCTAAAATTTTTTGCGGTGGCAAGACATTTTTCCTTTAATGAAGTCATTAGATGGTTACTTGAAAAAGTGCCCGTGGAGCCCGGTTTCACAGCGACCCTCTGCACGGCTAGCATGTAGGGAAATGTGACGGTTCATGAGTGTGCAGAAACAATTACGAAGAGGCCATGCTATCATCTGCTACCTGGGAGGGTCTCTGCACTAGTAGCGAAACCAGGGGGTGGCACACTGGGCCCGTGCCCTCCCACCTTAGCCTGGAGTTTTTTTTCTAACTCCTTGATCCACAAGGGACTGATATTTATACGGACTCTAAATCCGCTGCTAGGGCCTTCGATTCTGGTTCCGTTTGCAAGGAAGTTTTGAGAATTCTCGCTCACAAGGAACTCACCCACCACACAATTATTTGGTTCCCTGCTCACCTTGGCTTGAGGGTTGGAGGCCTTCCCAATGTCAACGAGCTAACCCACTCCAAGGCGCGAGGCTTCACTTACCGCGCCGGGACTTGTGCTTCTCAAAGAGAGGAGTCAGCCACCAGCCTTCATTTTGGGGACATTTTGACTACCTTCAACGACATCACGAAGCATTATCAATTAGGCCGTAGGTCCTTTCCATTGCCACACGAAAAGTTGTCTAGGCCACAGGCAATCTCTCTTCGCATGCTTCAGACGGGAACATAACCTAGTCTCGTAACCTATAGCCATTACTCCGATATTTCAGAACTTTGTCCGGACTGCCAGAATCGCAGTGATTTAAACCACATGCTTTGGAGGCTCCCCTCTTTACAAAGAAAGAATGAAGAATTTTCTGAGAACTCCTTTCATTTAGTGCTCACGAGTCCGGTTCTCATACAACAACTCAAGGCTGTCCAGAAGGCCCACGATGCGGCGGTGAGGCTGGGCCTCCCCGTCCCAACGTGGGAGCGGCCCGCGATCCTACCCCTATAAAACGGGGGTGGAATCCTTCAGAACCCCAATAAAAGTTTTTCATCCATTTTCACCATGACATACAGAGCGCAAAATGACAGTGGACCACATCTGCCTGCGTGCCCCCCCCCCCCGCCTTCAAATCAAGATGTGCCCCCATAGAAAAATCGGCAGATCCCACGTACCTGGGAATTGGCGTTATGCGAAGCATGCGGAGGGAAGGTGACCATGTTGCAATTTTTTTATTGAGTGACATGTCATGAAATAGCGCTAAGATATGTACAAATGTTGCAGGTATAGAAATATTTTGAAGAGCTGCGGATGTTTATATAAACAGTTGTTTGCGCTTGCGCAGCGACGCCAACTGCAACATGCCTATTAGCAACAGCAGAAGCTGGTATGAAGCGCTGATGCTCGCGAGAATGCTGGCCCTGGACACTGGTACATAAATCAACTTCAGCGCATGACAACGGTACATGTAAAAAGGCGGGATTTTCTCGCACGTTCACAATTCACGTTAACCCGACGTGACGGCTGTATCAAAGAAGCACATATGTAATGTTTATAAATTTGGGTAGGCAGCACTGCAACAACTATTGACGTTTCACGAAGATTAGCGTCTATTTGAAAAGTAGTACAGAGACCTGGCGTAGCTCTGTGGTAAAATGCTTCATTACCACGCAGAATGCTTGGGTTCGATTCCAGCTGGGACTCTGACATTTATTCTTTGCATTCGTCGGGTGGACGCCATTTATGTCGGGTATTTCTTAACGCTCGCGCGTTAAAACTGTCCATGCGTGTCCTCGTCGTTCCTGGGTTGATACTAAGTGTGAATCACCTGTGGCACATACCCGCATACCAGCGGCAAATACCCGCCCGTGGGTATGTGCCACTGTCTGGCAAGAAGCGTTTGACGACGTATGCGACGGGATTGTGGCATTATTCATGTCTTTACCAGCGCGCAATATTCGTCAAACCATCTTACCTTTCCATGCTGATTACCTTCCCACGCCAAGTTAAGGGGGTGACCACGAGAGCACCCAAACGTAAGCGGCTAGATAGATAGATACGCTCAAAGTCACCGAAGTTTGCTAAGAAATGCTTTGCATTTAAAAAGTTTTTTTTTGGGGGGGGGGGAGGGGGGGGGGACTACCTGTGCCTCTGCACTGAACTTGCGCCACATAGTAGCTATTGAAGCTTTGTTAACATACAGATATATGGATGTTCTTAGGCGCGCGCAGAGGGGCTTTGCCAAGCTTGACCGCAGCCCCCCCCCCTCCCCGCAACCCCCTCCGAGTCTAAAAGGGCGTACGTTTGACTCCAGCTTATCGGTGTGTAAATGGAAAGTAAACTTTCCCCTTAATTTGACATTAGGGGCCCCTTGTCGGCATTATCGTCAGAAAAGATGTAGCAGAATTCACGCCCTCTAGATGGCTAAAGGGTATGCGGCCATCCTCCCTGTCTTTCCCCCTCGCGTTGGAAACAACAGAAATAATATCCGGGCCTCCCAGACTCTGATGTTCAAGTATTGTGGCCATGTCCCCACGCCCGAAACTTATTAGGCTTACCTTTATACTTTGCCAGAGTCATTTCGATTGGATTATAAGCGTGTTTCAGGCGAGACCAGTCAGCAAACTAACGTGCTTGATTGTCGTCGTCGACTAACGCACCCCGAAGCACCAGTGACCCGCAATGTAGGGCATGCCCGCACCACAAATCCTGGCGTACCACTGAACCACAGAACACCTACCAGAGCACCTACCGAACTGCGCGCCAGGCACATAGCTCTAGCCATAGCCATAGTTCTATCCGCGGCTGAAAACTGGCTTGGCTGTTTGAGCAGTGCAGTTTCGGTTTCGGAACATTCATTACCATTCGCGTTTGGGTGGTCGTTTGAAAACGCTTTGACAGCGTTGGAAAGGGTTGAATTTGACAACTTAACAAGGGGCGCGTAGCTTTTTTTTTTTCATTTGGTAGCAGCACAACACTCACCGAGACATTAGAAGGAAAACGGACATGGTGTTTCCTGACGGCGCCGTGTTGTCCGTTAAGGTTCTATTGTACTCGCGAGTGTTGCGCTGTAACAGGTTGAAAAAATTATTACCAATCATGGCCCAACCTGCCGTTTTGGTGCGACGTCACCCCTACGGCCGAGCTCCGAGATTATATGATCTATTACCAGCTAAATCCCGGAAACTGCGCGGCTCAAACAGCCAAGCTTTCTTTCTCAACTTTCTCAAGAAAGTCTTGGCCGCCTTGAGTGACGATGATGACGGCAACGACACCGCGCAGCTCATGCATGAATTGAAAAAACGCGAGCAGACGATGCAAGCAGTGCGGAAGTAGCGGACGTGCGTCACAGTTCCGTGTAGCGCTTCGCACGCTAGATCGCATTTGTTCCACCTATGGTTCCACACAGCGACCAGAGTTACTGTATATGCTGCCTTTAGCATATACAGTAACTCTAAAAGCGACTTGTTCTCAAAAAATGGAGGGGAAGCCTTCCTTGCTCCATGTTCTCAAAGCTCTCCATGTCGAAAACTCAGACTGGTCGGTAGTAAACAAACTGCAATTAATTATCTGTCACACGCTGCATCGAGTGATGGGCCGGTCGCACGTGTTACGGTGAACGGGCGTCCAGCAACATATTGCAGCAAAAAAAAAAAAAACCCAAAATATTTGTCTGTGCCCACTGAAGCGAAACGCGACTTTGGCCGTTATAAATTACTTTTTCACGATACAAACACTAGAAGGCACTTTGTGCGCGAGGAAGCGCGTAAAAAGAAAATGCGAGTGGCGACGCCACGTCGTAATTCCCGCATCAATCGCTGTGACGTAATGAATGTTTCCGGTGTCTACTTAGGCCAGGATATTTTGATGAGCAAGCCTACAAGGCTCAGCAAAATATCCTGGCCCTAGTAGACGCCAACTGTGGTGAGAAAAAGTACTAACTAGCGAAACACTAAACTGCAAAAAAAAAAAACTAAAATCTGTCACGTCAGTATACGAGATTTCGGCGGCAAATTTAAACTTGAAACTTTATACATTGATGTTCTAATCCCCAAACCTATCGCGGAAAAATTAACGACACAAGGGTTTTCATAGTTTATTTATCAGTTTCGACTAATTTATCATATCACTTTTGTGACTCCTAAAAGCTGTATGGCAACAAGCAGGCATCCAAGTCACGTTCTTTCTGCCACATCATGCATTGGTCTGCTTTCTGAAATAATAATGCTTATCTTAGTTGCTATTTTACAAAATTCTTTCATGGTCTCCACAGTGCTCTGAAACAATTGCCTGAATGAACTGGTAACCTCTGTCACTATGGCGTCATCGCACAAATCGTGTGACGGGGCCGTCGGGCGATGTACGCGAAAAACAGCCGTTGGGGTCAGCTTGTATCAGTATTTCTTCCATGGTGCAGTTTGGCACAGCACTTCCATCAATACACATTGGCTCAATAAAGGTTCTCGTCCCTAAGCGTCTCTGACTCAGCACTGTTAAATTAAAATGTCATCCTTTTGTCAATAACGAATTTATAGGCGAAGATTTATGATGTCACAGCACGCCAACACAGAAACTTCAAGGCAGCGATACCACCACTCTTCTTGCCACCTTTTCTTGGCTACGAAGTGCCTTCTTATGGCACGACCTTTATCATGGGTGCTCTCGGATGTTAAGCTGATAACATACATGCAACCGTATATTATCTATAATGTATCTGAAAGCAAACTCAATCAAGTCACAGAGCATGCGTCTGTGTTTTCCAAACTGTTCGGAAGCACAAGTACAGTGTTCGCTGAACAAATCAAACAAATGGGTTGTTCTCCTGCTCGTGTCCGCCTAATTTGTTTAGCAGCAAAGCAACGTTGAGTGACACCGCTAGTGCAGCTGAAGAAGGGTGGGGGGAAAGGCCTGCCTCTCCCCCTCTTTAAATTTTTTAGTTCAGCATAAGTATAAAGAGTTTTATTTTTAAAAGTACAGATTTCTTCATAAAAATGCTACCACAACATGCCATCACGCTGTGCCATTGCTTTTGCAAACAAATTTTACGGCGGGGCGAAAAAACTTTGTCACACTTGTGAGTCACATAGGGATGACAAATTAACAATTCGTTAAGTTTTTAATTATTAACCTATTGAAGATATTGAAAAGTTGCAAGTCGTGACAATTTATGCCATACCAATTTCTTAAACACCTATAGAAACATGTGTTTGAGGCATTAAGCACCGAAATCGAGGGCCCCAATCCAGGCGATACCGAAACTGAGTGCTCTGAATGCGCAGGAAATGAGCAATCTGCGCTACGTCAGACCGAAAAGCTCACATGGCGAACTTTGAAAAAAGGTACGTCACAGCAAAATTTCGTCCAATATATGCAAGGACTCAGTTTATGATGAGAGCGTCCATGTTCACAACACCTGAGAAACTCAGTAGCGGAAAATAGGAGAGGATGTGTGCCGTCCCCTTGTGAATGTTCCAGTATACCTCTCCGTACGTCGTGCAACTAGTAAATCTCAACAAAATATGCTATCTTCAACACAAGGTGTGCCGTCTGCACATGCACTGTTTGTCTCCATCATATCTAGTACAACCTGGTGCCGGCACATCTGGATGATATAATAAATGACTGACATCTCATTTGACCACTAAGCCAATCGTATGATAGGGACAGATGTACATTTGTGCTGCATTGGAAACAGGCTAATAAAACAATAAAGTAAGGGTGCGCAAATATTCAAAACTTAAATTATTAGTACATTCCATTGGCAAGGCAGTTCTATCATTCAATATTACACAAATTCATAACAGCTACTGGAAACAGCATAAAGCATTGTACACATCTGCTCAAGTTTTCTAGATTTGATGTACGAATGTATGCATTTCACTTGCCACATTGCCGCAAATGTCCGCAACGAACGTATACTTTCATGTCTAGTTGATGAAAATGCTTTTTTTTTTCTGCAAAAGTTTGCAGTTACACTAGCATTAGTATTTAACCATATTAGTATTACAAACATATTGGATTTGATTTGCCCATGATTTTCACTATTCAAGTTCGCTTTGAAGTTGAAAATCTGATATTCGCATACACCTATACAGGATTGAGTTAAAAAGCTTCAAATTTATAAAATAAGAGAAAATTTTTGTAAACGAGCAAAAACGTTTATTGCCATGAATCAGGTACCATACATTGCATACAATAAAACACCACTCCAAAAGAACACACATCTGCCTGGGCAACTTCGGCAGTGTCCATTTTTGAAAACATTGAAGTTCTATTTCAAGAACCCCAAGATGGGATTGTTTTCAACAGAATCCTGAAAATGTTTGCCAGCAGAACATCTCTACATATCTGTCCTTCGTGTTGAGTAAAAATCACTCTAGTCTATAAGTTGTTCTGTGTCTCTGTAACCTTTGTGTATATTTATTAGTGTTACAGAAAAATTCAGTCGGTGCCAACTAGCCCAGCTACTAAATTCATTCTCGACTGAAACTCTTTGTTCATTTTGGTTTTTTTTTTTTTCCAGGATGTACTCTCAAAACCCGGACCACGACAAAATCACGGCAGCAGTGCGGTCAGCTGCGCAGATAGGAACGAGGTACCACCAACTCTGCCGAATCAAGTTTCCCTGCAAAAGCCTCTAGTCACAAGGATGACGTCAAATGTTTCTGTAATATACTAGGTTTGCACAGTGTCCATATCTGAAACGTGACTCACAACACTCGATTTGTGAGCACATCACCAATTAATTATGCAATTATTCTATTTATAACCTATAGTCGGATTCAAGTAAAGAAGTATGAACAGGACACACCCGAACAGCCAAAGCGTGGCAGCTGATTGACTCTGTAACAGAAGAAATAGGCCTGCTCATGCACTTGGCAATGTTCTTCAAAGGCTCGGTCACCAGTACTCAAGATGTCAGTCCAAGGTGTGCGCACATTAGTGCTGGCTTGTGTGCATTGGCGTTTGAGTGCAGCCTTTTAGGTAACCTAAATACTATTACGACACACCTCACTTATACACGGGCCATTAGATGAGCGCTGAAACAATTTCGAGGCATAGCCAAAGGGGCATTTCTTGTTTCCTTGGCTTGTAATGTTAACACTCTCCACTAACCGGAGCCAGGAAACACGTATATCATGCCATCATGTCATTCAATTTTAACGTTCTTGTCGCCCAGCATCTACACGACAATTCCACCGCAATGGACATTATCATGAGTCAGCGCATGTTCTCTGGGTTTGTGAACTCGGTGTCCTGGGTGTGGTGAAAATTGCTTTCGGAGCCACTAGATGCCAAATTACCCTTTTGTGTTTATGTGCAACATGTACAACAGCAAACTCCAAAGTGCTGCAAGAATGACAAGAGTTACTGTCTCCATGAGACCCACGTCACACCATGTTACACATCACTGTAATACCACCAGTATTAAAAATATATTATGAGAAGGATTGCGAGCAACCTACAGCACACTTCTCAGTGTTCTGGACACCAATATTTTTAGTAGAGCAACAATAAGAAACTTTCTAAAATTTGTGTCAGTACTTCCTCTAAAGAAATGTCAGTAAGCTGAGTGTAAGGTGTGTGCGATTTTGGTGTAACTTTGCTTCGCAGCCCTTGTTTTGCGCAGGCAATGAAAGCCAGCAAATAAGGCACCAATGAGCCGTGAGAAGCTGAAGAAAGCAAGATTGATGACTCAGTTGTTCGAAATGCGATGCCAAATGCTAAGTTGCTTACTACGGCCGCCAGACAACTCTAACGTTTAGCAAAGTTCGTAGTACACGCGAGAATGCAGCTGACTATAGAGGACAGCGAGATTTCGCATGGCCTACGATATACCTACCACACGTACGAAATCGACTGACAGCAACAGAGGGCTATGAGTGAATGCTGTATCAGAGGGCCCCGTGAAGATTTGTTCATTCCAAGTATAATGCATCAGTGGTCAAAATAGTATGAATATCTGTCCTAAATTTTTTAGTACAACATCACACTAATTAAATACTCATCATACCACTGATACATTACTTGCCATTTGTTGTAGCTATACTTCAAGAACGTTTAGTCATAAACATTATGGTGTTAACAAATGCAAATGTTGTATATATCTCGTTAAAGTATTGCTTTAACATATGCTTTTTTTTTTTCATTCTCTATAGGTACAGAGAGACTGAACACTAGAAGGATGTAGATTAGGTCAGAGCACATTTCTGTGTTGTTTTACGCAGGTTTCACGACAGGAATTAATAAAGAAGCATGTAAACTACTGTGCTAAGCCGCTAAAAAGCTGGTTAACAGTCTGTCATTTTTTGTTAAATGAAGTTACTAATATTTCCATTGGGTAGACATTGATGGATGCAAGTGCACTGTGATTATTAAAAAATACTTAAAAATGCAGGGCACACACTATGGAAAATCCGCGCAGCTGAACGGGGAAACAAACCTTATCTTGTAATGCTGTTCTTATATGAAAAATACAGTATTTACAGCACTGTGCTCCAAAGCACTGTACGTGTACTCCAATGGGTGAAATTGCAATATCACCAGTGAGCAGCCTCATTTGAAAAAAGTTGCTGATCTATTTCGTTGCAACAATAAAGTGACAAATAAAATTAATTACATAAGATAATTTTATCCTGCTGTTTAAGAAATGTGCTCAGGCACAAACGCGGCTAATTTCATGCTGGCTATATATATACGGCAATGTGTGAATAAACACCGTAAAAAAATCTCTTTCTTGTACTTCCCTCAAAGCATAGATGGTCACAACACTGGAGTTTGACTAAGCTATCTATGCGATGTTCCTAATGATTGAGAGGTTCTTCCTGGCCTGGTATTGATGCTACAAGCATTGTGTTCACTGCCCATTACATTGTGTCAGACAATGGTGTTCGAACCCATAACCACATTATGCCATGTGGCAATGGGGAGAAACAGTGGAACCAGTGGTTCACCATGAGTGTTGCTTACTTATGGACAATATAGTGCACCACCAGTCCTGTTCGAGAATTATATGTAGCCACATTAAAGCAATAAATGGGTGTGTTTGACAGAATCGCTAAGACATTGTACTGGAAAGTACAATGACTGGATAGTATGGCACACAGTTTTGGCTGCTCAGACGTCTTAGCAAATGAAATATGATACCTTTATTAACTACGATACTGTAGGGTGTGATCTCATAATGTACTCTCATGTTTCTAGTGTTTGTGGAAATAACTCACCCGAACTGACATTTCTTATCAAGAACATGAGCGACTGAACTGAAATGCTCTCCCAGCACCTTGTTCTTCAAGTTCAGCAGATTCAGATTGGCTCGACACCTGCTTAGAGAAATCGTTCCTCAATTTGACATGCCCTTCGTTAAGAAAGGTAATAATTGAGAAACTACCCTAATGTAATAATTCAACATGTGTCAAAAATATAAGCATAGAGGTGCTAATTAAACAATTGGCAATATACGTCCACAATATGGGTGTCTCTGCAAGAGCATAATACACTACTAATTTTCAGCAAATATCATAATTGCACAAAATGCAGTTTAATACAGTTCTCTGTTGCCAGATGTCTTGCATCAACCTGAGGTGGCATGCAATAAATTAAAACTGCTGCAATCTAAACTGTACACAAACGGAGCACTTGAACTGACATCGACTTGCATGACACTGGGCAGACACTACTAGCGTGCTCCAGACGAAAGCTTCAATAAAACAAGTATTATGAAACAAGCCTCAAAGCTGGAAAGTCGACATAGGGCCCATAAATATTCACAGAAAAATATATATATACTACAAGGCACCTAATTAATTCATATCACCTACAAGCACACTACCCTATAAACTTGAATCAAATCGAAAAAACAGCTATGTCATTCCTAGAAGTTATTATACTAGAACTATACAGACTAAAGTACAATCCACTCTTAAATATAAAACATAGTAATAGAATGCAAAAATGACAGCCGAGTGACATACTTGACCAGCTAACCTACGATTTTGCCTAAGTGCAGCAATGGTACGACTAAAAGCGCGTGAATAAAAAGCTCACGTGGACAGCGGCTTCAGTGAGCAATGTCTTCAGCCATTGTGAGCACAATCCTAAGCAACGATTGCTATAAGTTTCTGATGCTATGTACAGGTTGTCCACGTAAAGAAGTCAAACAGTGTGATGCGGCAACTTAGCTTTGTGTCATGTTATGCAAGCGAGTCTTCGTTGAAAAGTTGAAAAACCCATTTGGCTTTAAAAGGAAGATGCATATAGTCAAAGTAAAACTGGCGATTATCTCAGCAGAAAAATACAGATCAAGGCACACACGATTTGGCACTTCAGAACTCTCATGTGTCATGTATTTTTGATGTCAAACCCATTGTTGCATGGGCAAATACATGTGTATAGTATGTCACAAATATAATCCATACTAAAAGGTAACCACAGTATGAAGCACCATAAAGCATAGAATGATAATTTATGAATAGCTGACTTTAACAAACTATGCGACTACACACAATGCAGAGCTTCGGTGCAAATGAAGAAGTTGTGACTCCTAGCATCACGTCCTCTCTTGGCTACACCAGAAGAACTTGTAGCACGTCATGAAAGATTGTGTGGTACCTATGGCGGGGCTGTTGAGTAGTTCTAGGGCCAACTTGTACGATAAAGCAACCTTACATGGCTTTTTTCCGAGCTACGAGCTTACATTCAGCAATTTTCAAAAAATCAGTATGGAGAAGAAAGCCTGCTACGCTATACGTGTTTAGGGTTCTGCCTTGATTCCGCGACAATAAATGATCAACAGTAGACCTGATGTTGCCTTTAACTTGAAATGTATTAGCCTGGCGGAGCAGTAAGCCTGTTCTACATTAGGCAGCATCGACTCTAGAATGCAAAATATGAGTAAGGATAAGTCGAGAAATAAAAACCAATATTGTGTCGTGTATTTTCAGAGTACAGTAGCTTTTCATTGACATTAGCAATGGTAAGCCTAAAAAAAAGCAAGCTACTTTGGCCCACAAATGGTAAATACTTCTAGTGAATCTCTGAAGAATGCTGGCACTACAAGATCCCACATTGGCTCTACAGTGGTCCCGCATTCACTGCTACTTGGGACGTACAATGCAGAAAGCTCGAGTCTGACGCGAGTGCACATGCTCTTTTTGAGGAAAGTTGTGACTAGATGCTACGCCTACTAAGAGAGGAAAGGCTCGCGGCACGCACATTAGGCAAGTGTTTTGCCTTGTGCTGCCTCACAGCATGAAACGTTTTTTCCCTGCACTACCTAACAATGCTTGGCTTAACCAGATCATGGAAAATCTAATATGGCATGTTTGACTTGTCCCATAGTTCGTCAGCAGTGCTTCAACGTCTGCTAGAAGAACGTTAAGATAGTTTTTTAAGTGCTCATTATGTTTTCATACCCAATTAGTAATGCATCACTTGCAATAAAGCTTGATTGCATAATTACACAAACTTTTTACACCTCAGGATCACTTCTGAATTGAGTACCTGAATTTGAATGTGCCAATTCTCAACACTGAAAACACACAGCCAATACAACACTAGCTCACAACAGCTTCTGCAACAGTTGAGCAAGCCTATATGTATTTCTTGACAACTGTTACCAGTGACACCATCTCGAAGACGTGGCAGCGCCCAGACACACGCCACACCAGAACATCGAACAACGTTCCAGGAGGCACTTGTCACATTGAATATTTTCCTTGGAAGAATTTCGACCTATGGTTAATGAGCTTCGCAGTGCCAACAGTTTATGCACAGTAGTTAAGGAGTTTACTAAACTTTGTGCGCACGAAAAATCACACACTCACCCTTAACTATTCTCCATGCAGAACTTTCAAGAGCTCATTAAGAGTAAATACACTCAAAACTCGATATAACGAACCAGCATGTACAAAATATCGGTTATGACTAGGTTAATGATGAATTGTCTTGCGATAGAGAGTGTTAGGAGAGTACCTTTATAACGAATTTTTGGATATAATGAACCTATTTTGGCATAAGATGCAACTTTACTATAATCGGGTTTGAGTGTAAACTTCACGCCGTCTACCCGTAGTGCCCCCAAAATAACGTCGAGTATACTGGAAGACTCTGAGGCGTGAAAGCTTAGGTGCCTTTGTAGATGACGACACAAGCATATGTGCAGCTTGCACTGGCCGGTGAAAACAGAGAAATGGCAGTTCTAGAACAGCTGGCTGTCATTAGAGCTGAGCAACGAGACCAAGCACATGCTTCCAGAGATTACTCCGTGGCTGGTAACGCAGAGCGTTGCTTCGTGTATTCCCACACCAAAATGGCTCCGCTAACGTGGACGTTGAGAGAACGTATGACACCATGTTGAGGGATCTCAACGCAAACGTCGAGCAGCTGAATCAGCTCGACTGGGAGTCCCTCCTTCTCGTTTCTAAATGCAAGAATAGAAAAAACGAACAAAGCCGGAATGATAATCTCGTGATATCTAGGCTTGTGCAAATATATGAACGAATACAGCAGTTCTTGAACTTAAATTATTGAAAATTTCGAATTATTCAGAACAAACGAATAGGTGCATGTTATTCCGCATGTAACACCTTGCAAAGGATGGTTTCACTGCAGTAGTTGGGTACTAGATCATAAAAACACGTATCCAAAAAAAAAAAAAAATTTGCACTGCAGTGAAGCCCTACTTTATGGTTAAGTGAAGATATCACCCTCATATCGATTCACTTTTTCAGTTTAAAAGCTCGTTATACCAACTTTAGCAAATTTTTAAATGTCACATATTTTACAGGCTATCAGTAGCATTGTATCGAAAGTCAAGCCCTTCTACTATTCAAAGTTGTTTCTACTTCCTTCGATGAAAAAAAAAATGGTCTTTTGCACAGGCCTCGTTTCAACTTTCAAAAATATTGTGCAGGTTAGTTTAGGTCGTGACAAATATGTTTCTTTATTTTATAATATACAATATATATACCATTCCAATTCAATTTGAAGTTATTCGACCAACATTATGATTCCCTTTGAACCTCCAATTTACTATGTGCACAAGCATAGTGATATCAACTATTTTTGACGGCAGCTGCTGATATAACAAATGCCCCAAACATCTGGCAAGAACTTTTTTGTGCATTTACTGGGAGATACAGAACTACTGCAAGTTTTGTTATTAAACCACATAAGAGTGCAAAAAAAGGGAAATCATGATATAAAATTGGGAATACAATACCAAAGCAAAGGAACTGATTATATAGGCCTTTTAAAGGGGAAGCTCCGAATTTTTCATTTTTTTTTTTGATAATCATCGATTTCAATAAAACTTTCAACATGCGTTCTCATTGGTACCGTGGTGATATGCACCAAATTATACAACCACAAGACGTTTAGTTTTTAAGAAAACAAACTTTAAATTGGTATCTAATTCTGGAATCACACAAGCGCTCTGTTCTTGTCTCTTCTATCCCCTCTTGTCGTTCGCGCTGTTAAGCACTTTCTTCGTCTACCATGCAGCACCAACCAGCCCAATCAAGCACTTTGTTACACTTGCAAACGTGGGCCACCCTGTGTATGTGACATAAGGGTCTACTCTTTTTCAAAAACCCAGCCTTTCCCAGCAGACAGATTCAGCGTGCGCTTTCTTTTACGAGGAGATGACGACGCAAGCACGGTCCGCTTTTGTCAGCTGCATACAGCGTGTTAGTCATTGTTGACGTCAGGTCTTACAATACTGAGCAACGAGAAAATCGATTCGGGGCATGCCAGATGCTTCTCGCGCCAGCGGTTCGAAATCAAAAAGTGATGCTTCCGGGCTCAGATAGTGCCTGCAATCATCGCTGAACTTGTCACTGGTAAGTTCAGACGAGCTGGCACACCTTGATTCTGTGTCAGATGACATTGCCAACTTGCTTTTCATGCGTCAAAAGAGGCATGTGAACTATGTTTACACCCTGGCCAGCCGTGGAGCGTGTAGTGGATCTCGTGACATCATCGGCGACAGATTCTCGTGAGGTCGTCAGATACCCACAATGGATGACGGAGGAGCTCCCAATATGAGTTTCTGTTTTGACTGGCCATTCGTTGCCTAATCAAAATTATTGATCAGCGCCTGAGCAAAATTAACCACCCTAGCTTTTTCAAGACTGTCAATACTATTTGAAAACAGCCTTATCTCAAATGCATCAGAGTTCCCCTTTAATTTGCCATTGTTCTAGCACCATACAGCAGCCCTTTTGACATAAATTTTTAAAAAGTATATTTGGACTTGAAAAGAATAAACTTTTCAACTGAATTATTAGAAGTATGCAGACATATCAACACTTATTAATGATGATTTCAACCTCATAGTCATTTTCGGAAAGAAAGTACATTAGGCTACCTCACCACTATCACCTGTATAAAATTATTTTTTTCACAATGGCAAACAGTAGCAATTAACAATGTTGAGATAGACCAACTACTACTATTACTACATACTAAAACACAAGAGTACCTCCAGTTTATGTTCAAAAAGAGCCGAGTACTAGAGAAGTTGTAAATCTATACTGGAAAAGAAAGGGATAAAAAATGAAAACGAGAAAGGAGTGGATGCAGACAAAGTGCCTTCCCTTCTTCATGTTGCCTGCTCCTTTCTAGTCCTACACTTTTCGCCTCCTTCATTTCTGGAATATCAATGAATCCAAACCCACAGAATGCGTGGAGGTTTGAGGCCGAGCTAACAACGACTAACACGATGAAACGACTCACCCAAGCAGAAGGAGTGTCTTCTCTGGGAAGTTGAACTCGGGCAATGGCTTGCTACCGGCTGTCTGCTCGACACCCACCAGGGTGTATCCTTCAACTCTCTTTCCAGGCAGGTACTCTTTCAGTTGGTGCACTTTCACCTAGGATGTATCATTTCAATGAGGAAAAGAAATTTGAAAGAAAAAATGGGAGGACTCATTTAAATCGCTGACTGACACTGCATAAAGTTGGAGCAGCTTGGAGCGATTGAAGGAGCACTTCCATCAATGCACTCCTCTACGTCTCTGAAACGATCACTGTCGTTGCGATGATGATTAGCAACCAACCTTTTCCATGTGACATCACAGCCATTATCGATCCTTCAACACTTTTTACCACTTTAAGAGATCACTTTACAATGTAGTAAAACATGGCTTTTGTTTTTCTTTTATGTAATACCCCTTATATGGGGTGTTTAAGGAATAAAAATGAAATGAAATGAGCTAGACAACCAAATGCTCCCGTGCACTAACCTCGCTTATGGAGATCCATTTCTCAGCTGAAACGCTCAGTCCTTGGAAGTTTCTATCTTCAAGGTACTTTAGCGAGCCAACCACAAACTCGTTCACGCCAAACACCTCGCAAGTCCGGCACAAGCCTGGAAAAATAAAGAAGTAACGAAACGACGAACAGCAGTCTTGACAGCATCAAGGAATCAACGACGAAAAAGCTATTAGATCATGTATACGGCAATGTCCCCAGATAACTTGCGAAGATGCGAACCTCATACGTCAAAGTTGGCAATAAAGATCCGTTGTTATAAATGCACAACATTTGAGAGTGACAGCAGAGATCCTTGAGCAAACGATGAAATAAAGAAGACAGTTCGATGTACAACAGAATTACGGAATTCCTTACCTGATCGCGTTCGATCACACCCCCTGAATTATCAGGTGACTATTCTTGTTGAAAATCATTATATAACAAAAGCTTAATTTCTTTATTGTTGTAAATGTATTTTTCATTGTTTTGTTGATACTTCTCATGTATCTCTTCAGTTGTGATTTTTTTTCTGTACGGTATGATTCCACTCCTGCAATAGCCTCTTTACAGGGCTACAGTATGTAAAATTAATAAATAAATAAATACTGTTTCACTTGGTGCAAAATACAGTGATTTTCAAGCTGCTAAAAAAACAGCCTCTCTCTTTCACCGCAACCCATGGCGGTGAAATGGCGACCCAAGTGTTAGAATCAGTCGCTCTGGTGGCAGTGGCACAGCGACATTTTGGTAAGGACTACTCAAAATTGTGCCTAGCTAGCCAAGCTGTAAGAACTGCACCCTCAAGTTCTAGTTATGGCCGCTGTTGCAGACTTCAAAATTTATTTATTTAGTAATACTACCAACCCTTATGGAAGGTCATAAGAGACAAGACAATACATATCCAGAGCGCACTGCTGCATCGCAACAACTGCACTTTCATGGGGAACACGCGTTCTGTCACCACACGCACATCCTGCCAAATTTATCGCCCTTGAGATACTCTGCGACGATGCGAATCATGGTGCTGACGGTGGGTTTGACGCATGTGCGGGCCGCGGCAGTATCGCGATCTCCAAGAGCTCCCACCATGTGTTTTTGATGTGGCACTAAAAAAAACTGCTGCTCGTCGTTATTAGCCCTGCGATCGTGAATGGCAACCACGGCGTCACGAAGGCGCACACGCGAGCAGCGTGCACCTAGTCCCAACTGCATTCTGCAGCAACCCTTGCGAACACAAATGCGGTCGTGTCCAACGCGATCATGGGCGACCACGAAAGTACGCGCACAGTGAGCGCACAATAACTCAACGCACTATTTTTTGCCACGACGATGCAAACAAAGATAGCAATGACACTAGCAATTACACAGTTCTTAATTCGTGAGCCTGACCAGCGCAGCACGCACAGACTGAAAACGGTACTACTGTTTGCCACAACCGCTGCGCAGGAAACAGCAGTCGCGATTGTCATGTTAATCTATAGCAAATACGATTCGAATGTGCGCAGCTAACACAGCCGTAGATTAAAGTTAATAAAGCCATAAAATGACACGAAACATTAGGCTTTCCTGTCGTTCACTTATGGCCTACGGTAGTGCAAAGCTCGGCACTTTCTGTTACAGTTTTCAGCTAGTCTCTAGCGAAGCTTCGGTGCGCTCTTTACCAGCGCTGCGCATTCGGCACGCACCAAGGGTCATCTGTATATCGCATTTTATTCTGTATAACCTGCTCCTGCACATAACCGGCAGGGGCGGGTTAAAAAAAAAATAAAATAACCCCGACCGCAAGCCGCGGGAGGAAGAAAAATATACCTGCATATTGATCACCTTCTTTGCAAAACCACCTTCCTTGCATTGCCGTGAAGTTTTGCCATGAAGCCAACTAGCACACCAAAATTCTCGTACAGTTTGCACTCCGACTTAAGCAGCGAATTACCTGTATATTTTAATCGCCTTATGCTCATAAAAATACGCTCACTCATTGTGCGGCCAGGTACGTCTTAGTTTGCGATAGTTCAATGCATGCACTTGCTGGGAACAAAGAACGAGTCATCATTATCAGATCCTACCAAATTTTGCGACGTATAGATGAAATTTCGCGACAACGAAACTCCGTGACAACTGAATTTTTTCACCCGTCCTATCAATTTCATTGTAGTGAAATTTAAATGTAACAATTCAAAAACAAGACAAAATTCACTGACATTTTCTCAAAATATTTACCACGGACATCAAGTCGCTTACATAAATTTGCACTAAAAAATTTATATTGAACAATCTCATAAATGTGCCTCTACGATGATTGTAGATGAAGACTGCTAAATGTATGAACAAAAACACATGCTACTCGCTACCATTCATGAAAACTTAACAATATCATAACACATGAATTGTCAGGTACATCACATTCAACCACAAAGAGTGGCAGCAAGCAACATTGTGCACTGCAGCTGTTGCTGAGGATAATAATAATAATAATAATAATAATAATAATAATAATAATAATAATAATAATAATGAGAGTTTAACGTCCCTAAACCACAATTTTATTATGAGAGACGTCGTAGTGGAGGGCTACAGAAGTTTCGACCACCTAAGGTTCTTTAACGTGCACCTAAATCCGAGTACACTGACCTCAAACATTCTTAGCTACATCGAAAATGCAGCCGCCACAGTCAAAATTTGTCCCCATGACATTCAGAGCCATCGCAGAGTAAAAGGCACGGCCCTTGTGAAACAAAACTGCCATTATAGTTGCAGCTATAAAAACAACCAACTCATTATTATTTTTTTGCTACAATCACAGCAGGAGGAAACCTTTACGAAAACTCCGTAGCTGAGAAAAAACCTTACCGCCCAAGTTGGGAATGCGGTCTATCAACGAGGCAACGACGATTAGGCCGCCGTTTGTCTTCTTTGTCGGCACGTTGAGGTCCCACATGAGCTCACAGGAGGCAAGCTGCTGTTTCCAGGGCGTGATTTTTTTCTGGTAGTCCTCCGTGTCAAGAACCACTTCGGGCTCCGCTTGAGTGCCTGCATCATTTCCATTGCAAGGCTCAACTCACCACAGTCGAAACCCGCAATAACGAAACCCCGCGAGTACGAAATCCCCGCGGCAACGAAATATTTCGGATCCTTGGCGAACATTATAGAAGCCCACGTATTACGTATCTCGTGGCAACGAAATGTTTTTGGACAGCTATATAGAAGCCCACGTATTACGTATCTCGTGGCAACGAAATGTTTTTGGACAGCTATCCTGCATTAACGAATTTTCTACCACAGTAAAAGCCTTATTTTACCCTCCCGCCAAAGGTTAACTGTCGAAAATATGCTCGTATGGGTGTTATGCGCACTCATAATTTGTAAACGTCTGCTTTTGCCGCGCCAGCGTGGGTACCGCCATTTTTGTTTACTTAAGGGGAGACGCGGCTTCAGGATCGCGAAAACCGCGCAGAAGTGCTTCAAAAAATTCATTTCACACACCTAGGTAGCAAAACTTTTTCTGGAAATAGGGAGAAAACAACGATGTTCAAAAAATGGCTTCGCGATGGCAGGGCCGGGAGCCGGCTTCTTTGGCTAATCGGTAAGAGCATTTCTCGTGTTTAACCCTCCCGCCTCAGCTGGCTCCTCCCTTTAAAAGCGAGCGCACAAAAACCAAATGTTGGAAGGTCGTTTCAAGGCCCTTGATTGGCTGTGGCCGCCATGTTGCGTCAGCTCGCCGGCAGGAACGACGCGCTAGCGCACTGGTGGCGACGTGCTTCGTCGCAAGGAACGAAGCTGTAAGCGGCGGCACAATCAGATTACTACGAGTGGCCGCACCGGTTGCACGATCAGACTGCTACGAGCGGGCGCGCGATCTACGAGTGCGGCGGGTCATCGGAGTCGGCTTTAGCCCTAACTCCGCTGACAGCGAGACCGCGGGCAGGAACGACGTGCTAGCGCATCCAAAACAACCCACGTGTTGTTTTGGATGCGCTGAACACCCTTCACTCCTTCGGCGCACATGACGACGACGTAGCAATAGACCACTTTTTCCAGTGCGAAAGGAGAGCTTTGAAGTTGTTGCATGGCAAGAGTCGGCAAAGTAAGTTGACCGACTTCTGGCAATAAATTTTCCTTCTGCTGGCCGTATCACTGTTTTTATGACTCATACTTGCGGCAACGAAATTCTCGCAAAAAGAATTTTTTGGTTTCCCCGCGATTTCGTAATTGCGGGTTTCGTCTGTACTATATGATTGAAACTCGATGCAACAAAGCCAAATTTTATGAATTTCCTAATCTACTAAAAATTTTCCAATACTTATCATATATTCGAAATAACGAAGCTATCACTGCACTAAACCCAAAGAAACAAAAGCTTTTCCAGATATATATATGAGTAAAAAATGCAGCGATTTCTCTCTAATTTTGACAGAGAGGGCAAACCTAAGCCTCCCATGGCTTAGGTTTTCTTTTGGGCATGCATCACAACGTTACTGACTTAAAACATCTAGCCACCCTAGTCACGGCCCTAGTTTTAATGGGAAGTGACAATAATGATTAAAATTAAGAGATGATAACGACCCTAGTAATAACAAACCATAACAGCCCTAGTTTTAGTATTTTGAAGAGGCGGCACAATGCACCCATCACACAGTGTGTGTCAATCTGTGTCTCCTGTCTTTGCATAAGTTGAACCACACTTTTCCCCATAAAACCACCTCCTTTGACAACGCAGTTGAGCGAATGGCCATTGTTTGGGAGGAAGACAAGACAGACGTACCTTCAAGCCAATGACTGGGCTTGGCCGAGGAAAGACGGTCATCAAGGTTGTACAGTGGCAGGGCAAGCTTTTCCGGTCCCATGGTGAGCACTTCTTCAAAGACAGCGAGCGGAATGAACTCCCTGTCCGTGAGGCCGGTCAGTCGGGGAAGGTCACAGAATATTGTCTGTGCAAAGAAGTGACCAGAGTTTCAAAGCGCTGATGCAAGCTAGTTGGTTCGAGTGACTTTTATTCATACTTATAGCATGAAAAAGAACCAGACGGAGACACAGAAGGTCTGTCCTGTGTATGTGTTGCTTCTGTGTGTCCATCTGGCTATTTTTTTGCACTACGAATATGAGTACAAGTGACCAGAAACTCATCAGCACAAGACATCACAAATACATGCGACTGGTGCCTGGGCGACCTGAAAAGTGTGATCACGCCTGACATCGAATGAATCGAACACTTGAACAATTACGTCAAGTAATGTACAGGGACATTAATTGTTATCTTTAACTGTGGTATTGTACTAATTAGACCATAAAATCACACTAACTAAAAAGACAAAAACTACCAATTTTTCTGTTGATGCGATCGGAAATGACAAATTTCAGAATTACATGTCTGATGGTGACATGGATTATGCCTACAAGCATAAGGCGCATAACTCGGAAGTCATGGGTTCGGATCTCGCCAACAGAAATCGCGATTTTTCGTCCACTTTATTGTCAATTTATATCCCAACTACTACAAAACAGTTGAAGATAACATTGTCCCCTATGCTTTACTTGACCTATCTGTTGGATTTATTTGGTTATACCCATGAAATAAACCAGCCCCTTTAAAAGAACTTCCCATTCTTTTGTTTATGCTTGACATCAGTTACTTATTAATTCCACAATGACAATCTTTAATAAGCACCAGCTGAAATCTATCAGTGTCTTGTATATAAGCATCGTCATTCATACGAATCAGGTAAAACACTGCTCCCTATAGTATCCAGCTAAGCAAAGTGACCAATTTTAGTTGATGCAATTACCATCCACAATATTTCGATATTTTTGTGTCAGTATGACAGAACTACCAACTGTCACACATGAATTTCCCTCTGCTGGATTCTCACCTGAAGCGTAAGGTCATCAACAGCATTGAAGTCCTTGAAGTTAAAGTCCTCTAGTAGCTTTTCAACATTTCTTGACCAGTTCCTGTAAGCAGTGAATAGGTGGATAGGTGAGGCTAGATATGTGGCACCATCTGGTAGCTTTGAGATGAACCAGACAAGCATAAAACTGTCATAACAGAAACCTGGCACATTTTACTCTATGCTACTTAAAGCCAGACAAGTCGTCGTCTTAAGCTTTTGTTCCTCGAGGACACTAGGCATAAACAAACAAGCATGTTTATAATTGTGGTTGCACAAATTATGACTAGATGGCATTAAGACCATAATGCTACCCGGTATTTCCTAAACCCTGCTGCATATATTTGAAATGCAAGAGAAGCTAAAAACCTTTTGCCGCTGCCTGCCAGAGACAGGAATGCACATCTTACCCCATCTGAATGGTGCTCTTCAGACATGTGAACAGGGCAGCATACTTCTCCAAAACGGAGTTCAGTCCATGCTCTTTGCTCCAACGAGAAGCCAGGTGAAGTGCCACCTAAAAGCGAGTGTCAAAAAACATTTTCATCATTAGACATGCCAAAACTACAACACGAAAGGCTGTAACAGGCAACTGCAGACTGATTTTGACTGCTTGACGTGTTATTGACGGCCACCACAATTCAAATACATGGGTGTTTTTGGCATTGCGTCACAGTTGAAATGCAGCTGTTGTGCCAAGCAATCTAGCTTAGCAGCACAATGCCACCAGAAACCATCATGGTGGAGAAAAGTACATGACGTGGCATGACGCTCCACCTTGGGTGTCCAAGAAAAGACTGATTGAGAAGATAGAGCGCAGGGTCTGTCCATAACATGACGAGACTGAGTCTGGTAAAAAAATTACGGCATATTCACGGGGTGAATGATGATGAATGGGCGAAGCTCCGGAGGGATTCATCGGTAAACTGTGAATCTTCCGTGTAATTCGCCCAGTCGATCATCATGTAAAGACGTGAGAAACGCTGTGTGTGTATATACACAAATCAACTTTTATTTGTTCTTAGACGATGGATGGCTTGCGATGTCCCTTGCCTCGCGCGCTCGCACATCGGGATTCTAGTCTGCGAGCGCGCGCTGCTGCCGCCTTGCGCTCTCTCCGCTGTGCAGCCTTATCCATCCGGCGACTCCGAGCGCGCGCCAACAGCCAACGGATTTTATTACAACGCTCCCCCTAGCGTACGTCGCCGCACTAAATCGAACGATTGCCTTCAACCAATGACACGCGCCATATGTGACATCATTCCTATTTTATAAGATCTCGCGTCTTTCATCAACTACAAGTACCGCTTTCTAGTTTATAACATCTTGCATCTTTTCATCATCAGCTACAAGTACCACCATCTAGTAAACACTACAAGAACTAAACGTGAGGTGGCTACATACAGGAGACGGTACCGCCATCTAGTGAACACTGCAAGAACTAAACTAGAGGTAGCTACATACAGGGGACGGTACCGCCATCTAGTGAACACTGCAAGAACTAAACTAGAGGTGGCTACATACAGGCTACAGGGGACGCACAGCCCACGCCCTAAGGAGCTTCGCCCCTAATAAACTGCTTGTCTCATCGGTGTGTATCATTTCAACTCTCCAAAATAGTTTTCTTGGGCAATGATACACAGAGTACAACGTGATTTTGAAGCTCCAAAAGCTCCCTGAAAGTGACCTGCAGTGACCTTTCTCGGAGACTCTTCAACAGCCCGTTGGCAACTGGGAATGTTGTCAAGATAATAACCTTCCTGGCTTCTCGTGAGATTTGGGAACAGGAAGAAGTCTGCCGGGCTCATATCAGGGCTGATGCAGTTCTGACACAACCCTGATCTGTGCCCCCACAGACTTCTTGATCTTAAATCTCAAGCCAGAACGGCCACCATTTTGACGGTGTTCCCACTATCCAACGAGCTGTCACAGTGCCCCTGACAGAAGTTACTGACTTCCAGAGAGCCTCTGCAAAGCGTGATTGATTTAGGGACAGATCTCATATAAAGAAGAATTCAATAGAAAAGAGAAATCAGGCACCTTGCACATTAACTTGTTAAACATGTTTGTGCCATGTACTTAACTTTATTGTTTTCCCAGTCATTATTATCAAGCATTCTGCCACCAGACTAGAAAATGGGGAAGGTTATTCCAATCTTCAAATCAGGTAACAGAGACTCGCCACTAAATTACTGTACCATATCTTTTAACTAGTGTCCCCTGTAAAATCATGGAACATGTCATACACTCCCATATCATCAACTTTTTAGATTCAAACACTTCTTTCATCTCTGTCAACATGGATTCCGAAAAGGCTATTCTTGCGAAACGCAGCTGGCCATTTTCCTACATGACCTACGTTCTAACCTTGACTGTAACATTCAGAATGGAATGAAAAAACTTTATTTTGTAACATTCAGACTGATGCCATTTTTCTAGATTTTGCTAAAGCATTCAATATGGTCTCTCACAAATTCCCCATTCTAAAATTATCTCAGTTAAATCTAAACCTTAACGTACTTACATGGATCCCATCTTTCCTAACTAACCGCTCCCAGTTGACAATCATTGTTCTAACCGACTGCCTGTAACGTCAGGTGTCCCGCAGGGGTCTGTCCTAGGACCTCTTCTTTTCCTCATCTATATTAATGATCTAACAATGTATGTATAATGTCACTTTCGCATGTTTGCAGATGATTGTGTTATTTACCGTTCAGTAACCAACACTCATGACCAAACATTAATTCGGGATGACCTTAACATTATACAAACATGGCGTAATCCTTGGCTAATGAAACTAAATCCTAATAAATGTAAGCTTGTTTCCTTTTCTGGCCCCCCCTTATGTTCACTTATTCAATCGCTAATATTCCACTAGAACCAGTTCAGTCGTTCAAATACCTCGGTGTCACTTTGTCTCAAGACCTTTCTTGGCGTCATCACACCACTAACATCATTTTAGCTGCTAATAAATCACTAAGATTTCTTAGACGACACTTACATCATACTCCACACACATGTAAAAATGCTTGTTTATAAGTCATTAGTCAGATCAAAGCTCAAATATGCATCTTCCACCTGGAGTCCCCCCCTAAATATGTATCATAAATGAAATTGAATCAATCCAAAATCGGGCTGCCAGGTTCTTTCACTCTGCATATCCATATGATATCAGCACCTCATCTTTGAAGGCACAGTCAGAATTGGAAACACATGCTTCTCGCCGACAGATTGCCACCCTCTCTCTTTTTCATATGTTGTATTTCAGTTCACTGAATCGTCCACCGTACATAATGCTCTCTCCACAAATATCTAGATATCTCATCGCACTGGTCATCCCCTTCAAGCCGCACTATCACGTACTCGGACCACAACATTCGAAGCCTCCTTTTTATACCAGCAGCAAAAGACTGAAACGGCCTTCCTCACGCTATTTCTGCCATGACCAACTCATCCAAGTTTTCCGAAGCCATTAAAAACATCACCGTATAGTTTTATTAAACACCATCCCTTATGTAATACCCCTGAAGGGGGACTTTAAGGAAATAAAGTGAAAGTGAAGTGAACTGTCAACACTGCCCAGGCAATCTTCTGTACTCGAGATTTGGGAACAGAAAGAAGTCTGCCTGTTTCTCTACACTTCCCTAATAACTGCACACACTACCCAGGCAATTTTCTCTACTCATTCGGCAATCAATTTGTCTTCTGCATCAGGTATATGCGACTTTTTTTTTCTTCTTACCTGTGCATACACCCTAGCATTGAAGTGCTGCCCCATGCTCCAAGGAAGTATGGAGGGAAGAAATTCGAGAAGGTGCGGCTCCAGTTCATTTTCAGGGTCGAGGCATGCACCCAGGTGAACAATGATGGCCAGGAAATGAACATACGCTCCGGTCCTTTCAATACCTGCCTGTTATTGAAGGCAAGGTCAAAAAGAATAATACATTTTAAATTACTGCTTCTGCAGATGAAAGAACATTTTCATAATAATATAAAAATACTCTTTGATATCTTGTCTTATTAATATGAAAAGTGTTCAACACTGCACACATTAGGCAGCGTATAAAAAGCACAGGTTTAAACTTCGCACCTGTTCCATGGCGGGCACCAACTTCGCCCGAAGTCGAGGCGTACGGAGGAGGATCGAGACGGCCGTCCACTCCAGCAGGCAGCGGATTGACGGCTGTTGGCTGTCTTGAACGAGCTCGTGGAAAACGTGCTCCAAAAGCTTCTCAAACATTTCCTGTACAAGAAGAAAAAAGAAGTTGCTTGTTTAGTAACAGAAACTGCACATATGAACAAATGGTAAATACGAGGTTTGAAGCAAATAGTGATTTGGTCAAATAATTTTGAATCAAATTGTGGGAACAGCATGTACAACATGTAAAGAAAAATAGGCAACTAGGTATGTGCGAATGTCACTTATTTTGAATTGAAGTAAAGCGGAAGCAACTTTGAACAGTAGCAAAATTAAAAGCAGTAGGGTGCAAAGTAAAATATAATAGATTTTAAAATTTATCCCTTAGCGCATAAGAGCTTGCATAACGAGCTTTTAAACATAAAAAAACATTTGTGTCAGGTCAAGGTAATAGTACATACATTTAACCTTGAAGTCTGGCTCTGCAGCAGTGAGACTTTCCTGAATAAGTGGCCTCACGGCGTAGCACCCCCCAATTCCTGTGAAAACACCCTTACGGTGCAGTAATATGCCATCGTATGTGTTTATTCATTCGTTTCGAATAATTTGAATTCACGTCTAAGTGAATTCAAAAACCATCATACTCATTTGAATATTCAATTCATGGGATCTTCCTTCATGCCTAAAAAATTGTGATACTAATTTAGGGCTGTAGCAGGAGCGGTAAACTCAACACAACACCAGTAAGGCAACAACAGAAATCCACGTAAATAATTGAGCAACTAAATATCAAAAAACTTATCTGAATTTTTCATCTTCAGAAAAAAAAAAAAAAAACTGCTGTTTGAACATCCAGTTCGCAGAAAAAGGATCTAATTAAGCCATGCAATCAAACTGGCAAGGCATTGATCTTCATTATCATTCTGTTTCTAAGTGTTTTGATTTATTTTATTTATCTCATGATGAAAACTCGTAACAAAAAGACAATGAGCAATGTGATCCTTGGTAACCTTTCTGCCATGTACAATCATTAACTAATTGCATTACGAACCTGGACATTGCTTTGATAATTGGCTATATTCTTTTGCCTGATCAAACTTCACTACTGTCTCAAAAGTACACATACATACACGCACATGCACCGACGCACACTGCGCGCCTCTGCACAAAGAGTAAATGACTTTCACAAAATCAATGGCGCAAAATAATACAGGTACAGAGAAAATTTATGATGGGATGGACACAAAGTTCCAACTCTAATCGGAAGTTGCCACCCGTTCCAACGTAAATCTTCCACCACTGCATATACTTTGTGCCAGTTTTTTTTTTTTTTGCATTTGATTTCCTAATATGTTGAAGCAGGAATCCCACGCAACTTACTGTCATTGGCTTCTCATCGCTGCTCACAAGCAGGTGGGTCAAAACAAAATTTTGCATGGAACAGGTCATTCAAACACAAGAATAGACACACGTGAAGCACAAGAATAGCAAACTTATTGCCGACAGCTTCAGCGTGGCATTCGCAGCCTGCCTATACAGTTCACTCTCAAACTCAGTTTCTGCTTCTCTTAGGCTTTTAAAAACATTGCCAGACGAAGTCTGAGAGGAACAATTGCGCATTCCTGTAATTGAAAAGACTAACCTCGTTCAGGAGGTGCAGAAGGCACAGCTGAGCTTGCCAGACCCTGTTCTTGAGTCGGTGGATCGTCGAGTTGCCGAAATAACGCTTCCGTGTCGATGTTACCTCATGGTCGTATTGCACCAGGACCTCTGAAAGCTTAGCCGCAGTTTGGAGAGACGCTTTTCTCGTCAGAGCTCAGCTGGATTAGGAAAGCGATTCCCAGAGCTCGGACTTCGACGTCGGCTTGATGTTCGCTTGAAGCGAAAAGAATAAAAAAAAAATTGAATTAACAGTAACTCAGGATACCAACAGAATGAAATGGTTGCTGAACCACCACAACATTCACAACTGAGACGTAAGGCAAGTACGTACGGCAAATATGGCAAGCGTGGAGCACGTAGCCAAGGTAGAAGATGAATATATGTTTTAATTATAGCATTGAGAATGAAAAACATATTGGTAGGTTTTTCATTATCGTGTTGCTGTAAACCAACATGCCCTTATTAATAGCAGTAAGAATTTCATTCAGAATATTGCTTATCTGATAATCTTGCCAGGAGGAAGTGCTAATCTGTTATTGAATACAATGGTTATTGCATTCAGGCCTATGAGGCAGCATCTGCTCCCTAGGTGCTCTTGTGTCAGTTATTAATGATTTGTATATACACATGTGTTATTTGTTATTATTACATCATTGAACATGGACTGCATTAGCGGCACCTAAATGGGTCACTGTTTACGCATCAGATACCCATTAATTTGCTGCCATTTCAATGGTGAGTATTTCGTACGCATCATAGAGCTCCTATCTTTATCTCCGAGTTAGACTGATTCGGAACAAGCACTAACACTTCTCGATTAAAGTGCACTTAAAGATCACCGATTATACCTCAACACAAACAAAGAATAATTTTTGTAATGGCGAGAGTGCTCACCTTCTCAGCAGCTGGTTGACGGACAGAGCCTCACCTTGCGCTGTCACAAAGGCCTCAGAATCAAACACAATCCTGTAAGGGGAACAGCACAAAATATAACTAATGCGCCAGTCTATACAAGATGATTGTCTAGCTTGATAGACACGTAACATTTTTGTTCTCTTTTTGCAAAAAAAAAAAGACTTTAGCACATCTGACAAAACAGCGTCGTGAAATCGCTGTTTTTGACACATTGGTTCAAGTGGTTGAGCATCGCACGTGTTATTCGAAGGTTGCAGGTTCGGTCTCTGCCCGCGGCAAGTCAACTTCTCGTCCATGTAATTTCTTGAGATTTATATTGGAATTGCATAAGATAACATCCCGTATACGTTTCTTGGCTGCTAGTTCTCATTGAAATGAAGTGCGGTTGGCGTGCATAGCAATGAAGTATGGCATGGTGCAGCACAAAAAAAAAATGAGGAAAATAAATGTAGCCTGTTTGTCTATGTATTATCATGAGTTTGTCATCAAGAGATGATGATGGCCTTGCACATTGAAGATAAAACAGCAAATCATACACAGCAGATCATACACTCAAATCTCAATATAATAAACACAGATATAACGAGGTCAATAAAAGACTGTCTTGCAATAGTGTTAGAAATAACCTTTTATAACAAAGTTTCGGATATAAGCAACTTGTTTTCTCGTGAGATGCAACTTTGTTATAATAAGGTTTGAGTGTACATAGTGTAGGCACCAAAGAAATGGAGCAGTGGTAAGTGTAATCCACGTACATTTTATCATGTCCGTTTTCTATGTGAACTTTATAACTACAGCTCATACCAATTTCACTGTGCAATGTAATGCCAGCTGGCAAAAGTGCACTTCACCCTCGCCATCAAAACTACCAAGTGGCGCTGGCTAACAAATACCCCATAAAGTGACAGCAGGATGACCATTGCTGTAGCTCAATTTGTAGAGCAATGAATGGGTCATCGAAAAGTTGAAGCTGCAGTCCCTACTGACAGTAACAAGTCTTTCCATCCAGTTTAATTACTTTACATTTACATAATAATTAGCAAATCACGGTTAAAGTTTACATATAAGATCTCCTATACTCTCTTTAGTACCACTGTCATGTACAACTGAATGAAACCAACAAGCAAAATGAGCCCTTGCAAACTTTTACCCTTCCTTCGTTGAACTTCACCACAGTAACACATTTACAACTCCGTGCACATTTAAACTTTTAATGCTAATGCACTAAGAACGCAAGGTGACACACCGCTGATCTTTGCGGTAGACGGGTCCGTACGTCAGCGCCTTCACCATGACATCTAGTTGGCTGTCCATCAGTTTCACGTTGCCCTTCCATACATCCATCAGTCTTGTAATGAGGGTGCAGAACACACCCGGCATCACTTCTCCCAGCTCCAACAGCTCGTTTAGATACTGCAGCCAAGAGAGACGCGAAGATGCGCATGATTGAAACCAGCAAATGTGAAAGCCTGGTTCAGGTGACACACTAACGACCTGTCCTCATCTGGGGCTGAAGCCTATGACCAATGCGTGAGAGAGGCACTGGTCACGGGTTTCAAAGCCCAATGGGGACAAGTTTTTCATCAACAGAAAAGCTTGCTTTCTGAGAAATTCATTTGGAGTTCACTAAAGCTTCATGCTACAAAAAGGGCATAGGTATAAAAAAAATTACAAGTTCAGGAAAATGTGGAATGTTGAAGTAACGAAAAATCCCAAGAACACGGGGTGTCAAAAATTTTCTATCAAAGGGGTGAACGCAATTTTGCCCTTCACTGACCTTCCTCTATCCCGAGGGCTTCTGCAGAATTGATTGCCAACTGAAACATTGATTGCAGGCATAAAATTTTTGCGAGGCCTTCTGCAGAATTGATCTGCCAACTGAAACATTGATTGCGGGCATAAAATTTTCAAATAAAAATTTTAATTGCCAGAAATGAAAGATTGTTTTGTGAAAAGTCAGAATTTAAATGAAAATTTATTTGTTGATACACTAAATTTTTCTGCAGTATCTCTTTACAAGCAAGTCACTGCTTCATTGTAATGTTATTCTTTTTATTGGTTCAAACATCAGCACTGGACATAGCTTGCCAAGAAGAACACAGTAGAGATTCTTGAATTTAAGAATAAACTATTATAACTTGACACGCTGTACAGCTGCGAAACATAAATGAAAATGCCAAAAGACTACATCATCCCAAAGGAACAGGCATTTAAACAACCGATACTATACCTTTACCACATAGCTGTTGTACATGCCAAAAATAAGAAGATTCATTTGAAATGCCAGTGAAAAACAATTTTCGAAAAACTGAAAACAACTTGCATGACTCAGCAGGCGTCCACGGTAAGGCTGCAGTAGAGCAGGTTGAAAAGCGAAGCCGATAAACAAGCTCTACGGCCGGCCGAAATATGTCGCTCTTCTTCAAGTCCTTGCAACTCTGCCAGCATGCCTTCAGGCACTTGGACAAGAGGTCTGCATCCACGACCTTGACCTGCAGGTCATAAGCCCACTCAGCACAAACCTATTCAATTCGATTCGTTTTACCTGATTCAAACATCATTTCACGGTGTCTAGAAAACTGTCACGGAGTCGTGACGTGGACGAATGAAGCAGACTGCAGGTCTAATAATAAACTGTTTATTTGGGCGAACCTGCGCCTAGTAAACGGAAAGTCTTGCACTGATAGCGGCGAACAGAGCGTCGGCAGTCAATCACCTCAAAAGCGCTGAAGTGCGTCAGCATTCATACACTTGCCATCGAACCTTCCAGTGTTATCGCTAGCGCCGACGTAGGTTCCAGAATAATCTGAAATGTTCACGAAGTGGGCGTAACCTTGACAAAACGATCTACTACAGCCTCGAAGCTTTTCGGACATCATAGGCACAGTTTGCGCTGAACTTAGTGTAACAGGGTGATAACAAAAATTGTGGAAAGTAACATGGCAATACGGACAAAGAAAAAAGCCATTTTCACGAGTGCCTTTTGATTTCCTTGCATTACAACAATGTTATAATGCTTTGTCATCTTTTCTTTCTTCTCTTGGTTTTCCCTCTTTTTTTTGCTTTCTTTTTTTCTCTCTTCATTACGTCCCCAAAAGTCTGATGCTGTTTTATTATTGTATTGTTGCTATTGCATGAGCGAATGTAAGGCTAGCTGACATTACATGTATTAGGATCAGTTTTATTTCTTCAAGCACTACTGTAGAAGCCTGCCTTTATTTGGTATATATGCACAAGAAAAACAAATCTCTGCATTCAATGTGGTCTGCTATCTCATGGCTCTGCCCTTTAGCCCAATAAGGCTTTGGCACGCCAATTTTGTATCACTATGCTACTCTTTCGAGATGTTCAAAGATTATTATTATTATTATTATTATTATTATTATTATTATTATTATTATTATTATTATTATTATTATTATTATTATTATTATTGTTGTTGTTGTTGTTGTTGTTGTTGTTATTGTCATTGTTATTATTATTATTATTAATACCCATTGCAACATACCAAAAATCAGGTGATTTGCATTATCGCACAGGGCAGCTGCATATCACATACCTCCATTGCTTAACTCTCGTGATATCAGGCCAAAAAAAGAAAAAAGTCACACACTCTCTTAAAATACTTACCATCCTACGGTTACTAGCAGCCAGGCTTCCCAAGACACGTCCACAACACTGATTTCTACCAAAATGAACTTGTGTGACCAAAACATAATGCTTTCAAAACAGGCTTTGTCAAAACCTAAGACTTATGGCAAATCTAGAGCCAATTTTTCAGCCATGCTACTGAGGAACTCATTACAATGTTAACATTGAGGTATCATTCCGCTTTTACCCCATTTAAATTTAACTTTTACAGAATTTTGCATATAATGGCATCTTATCCTTGGTACCTTTCTGAAAACAAATGCTTTGTCCTTTTCAAATCATTCTTTTTGTATTAGCCGATAACTAATTTATAATGTTCTTTTTTTTAAGCAAGGCTTTTTTTTTTTTGTGTAAAAGTTTTCGTCGTTGGTAACCTTGGCTGTAATTGCTTCTGGTGCCTGACTGATTAAGTCACACTTAAAAACAAGTTTTAGAGTTGCAGCACATCCAATCTGATGATATTTTACAACTGTTATGCCCCTGCCAGTCACCCAAGTGACAACCTTGTTACATCATAGTTGTATCACCGTGACTTCACTAAAGCTAGATTATATTGTGCTCCTTTTCCTGTTACGCCCAGCAGCAAACAGCAGGAATACTACACAGTGGTCAACAAAATCACTGCCTCGCATAGAGCTTCAGAACTTCAATTCGTGTGTTAAGCCCTTTGAGCAACCGGCACTTACCAAGGACAGGGCATGTGACACTGCCTTCAGAATGTAAAGGCACGACTTCTGCGAAGCAGTCTCCAGAGCTTCGACGGCCTCTGCGATCAGCCTGTTGCAAAGATCGTCGGTGGAAAGGGCGATCTTGCAGACGCTTTCCCAAACGAGCTCCGTCACTGCGGCCGCAAACGCCACCCAACGCGACTTTGCAACTCTGTCCTGGATGCTGCACAGATGCAAGCGTGAGCGAGAAAACTAAGTGAGAGAGTTTGCGATATCAGTAGTTCAGTATTGACATAAAGTCAACGAAATAGATCAAATAAATTTAATGTGGCATTCCTTCAAGGTGTTCATTTCAGATTTTCACTCCCCTTCTTCTAAATACTTCAAAATTTCTACATGCATTGAAAGTTTTACTGAATTCACTCAGCAAACGATAAATACGTGATGTGTTCTTCCTGAACACTTGCCCTGCACTTAATGCCTGCTTGCTTACGCTTGTTCTTTCGTAACGTAACATTGTGTTCTATCACAAAACGTGTACAAGTTTGTAATTTTAGGTTCACACTGAGGAACTAGAGGCGATTAAAATTAATCTGAAGTCCCCCACTAAGATGTTGCTCTGTTATATCACGGTTTTGGCACGTAAAACCACAGAAATCCATCAAACAGACCTTGAAGCATCACTGACCATGGTTTTATACAAAACACGCTATAAGAGCACTCACTGGTAAAGCACTGCAAAGTAAAATTTAAAAAGATGAAAAAGTAAACGTATGCTGATGTTCTTACAGGACATAGCATAAGCAGAAAAACAAAAGGGATTCCACATGTAGATGTTAGCCAAGCTGACAGGACATTAGGACCCATCTGCACAGACGGTGACCTTATTCACCTAACGAAACTGTAACAGCACAGTTTGATTCCTCCAACTCCTCAACCAATGAATTGACTTTAGAAATTTGTTAAGCAAGATGTTCCCAGCATAATAGCGTCCGGTGCATAACCAAAATGTGGCATACGTACATGAAAGAGGCGGGCCTTGTGATAGGCTTCGAGATGCTCCCTTTGGCGATAACTTCGAGGAGCAAGGCTTCCACTTCGTTTGTCTTTCGGGGAAAGCGTTTCAGGACCCAATGAAGAAACCTCCAATAAGGCACCGTTTCCACAGACACAATGTCTGATGCCTGAAAAACGTTTAGCAAAGCGCAGTTCAGAAAAACTCTACTGCATTTAAAATGCAAACTCAGAAAACAAGCATGAAAACTGACACTCAAAAAATATCTGATGAAACGTTGTTTCGAATAAACCAATTGCAATAAGCATAAAAATCTAGAAAACGAGCGAGTGAAACAGGGAACTAAAGAGATGACATGTCCAGATATCTTCAATGACCTTGAAGAAAGAAAGAAAACATAATATAAAACGAGGCAGACGTAGAAAACAAAAAGAACAAAGACAATGTACAGTCACAGACAGTGTCACGAAATGAGAAAATATTGCAATATGCCCCGCCTTTCAACATTAAATCATCACATTTTGCAGTTCCAGTTAATGTTGCAATCAATTCCGCTGCCTCTCTACAAAAAAAATTAATGGCGTTTTTGAAATCTTTCGTCAACTGTCAGTAGTGTCCAAGGATCTTGACATTTTAAGAGGTCAATTCTCTAAATTCTACAGTGCGATGAACAGTGCTAGAGCACCCACAATGCAACACTACCTACATCCCACTCACGGCCCACAAGTTTGCAAACAATAAATAACTACAACAAGCAACACCGTAGCAGCAGGTTCTACCATAGCAAAAAATGAGAGCTATAAAATATTGGTAGATCGCTAAAGTGATGAACTGTGATTGATTGAAGACAATATTTTTGTCATAATGATGGATAACCGACACTGGCCATTGCTTTACCCAACATTTGTTAGAGTTAGCCAACACTACTACCACTGCTTGCGGTGTGTGGGATAAATATGGCGAGTGAACTACACTCAAACCTCATTATAACAAAGTTGCATCTTAGAAAAAAATAAGTTTGTTATATCCAGAATTCATTGTAAAAGTATATTCCTAACATCTATACATATATTTTGCAAGAGTATTCTGCATTTACTTCGTCGTATCTGGGTTCGTTATATCGAGGCTTGAATGTAGATCAGAAAGTTCCTTTGACATCACACGCCTCTAGAAAAGTCAGCAAAGATAGACACTAGCTCTGATAAAAGTACCTTTGAGCTTGAAGCACCAGCCCTCTCCAATTTTACTGTTACTTTGAAATTCCCATGCCATTCCGGGAAAGCGCCGACTCCCCCTTTGCACACTAATCATACACCGCAGAGGCAACATCCACCTGCTCAAACCCAATCAAATCATCGTTAGCAGCCCAATCTTTTGAGCACCTGTGCCTGAAAATTGTAGTCAGGTTTTCTTTCTTTCCTGCATAATGATTGCACCCCATATTTGGTGCAAAGCACCTATGGGGTTCTCAGGTTCCCCAAGAGCAAAAGCACAGCCTTCGAGATCCCTCTCTGTTGCCCAAAGTTGCTCTAGATGTGAGCTCATCCCTGGCGGCATCTCCATACTGTGCTTCCCGTGGTCTGACGGCGTTGCCTTTGCATTCCTTGCGTTTATGAATTATCGCTCTAGTGCGCCTTGCCACAAATGAGAGACCATAGAATTCCCTACAAATGCAACACATGGCGCTTCAGCGAGCATGGGAATGATGGCTAGTACCCATATTCGTCTAATCTTCGTACTCTTGACTCCGTTTGGCTTCACGTGACTTCGAGTTGCTTCGTTACGAGAAGGCAATCATCAGACGTTCAGCAGTTGTACTTCACCACCTCGACCTTTCAGGCTCACCATTTCAAAATCAAGTTACGAAGTTCACAACGGTCCGTTCCATTATTTGAAACAAAACCAAAACACAACAATAAGTAAAGCCACAAGCCCGTTCGAAGCCCGCAAGCACAAAGACTAGGCGAATCCGTGCACTACCCATCGTTCCCATGGTGGCTGAACAGTCGTAGCGCCAGAGTATCTCTAGTTGTTAAGTTTAGGAAACTATGCGAGAGACAGAAGACATTTGAGGAAGTCACTGTGCACTCCACATTTTTCTGGCAGGAAAAACTTGCCACCATTGCCACTCCAGAGAGTGCCTCCCTACATTTTGCCAATAATTTCAAGTTGGAGAAAATGAGGCGCTCGCTCAAGATTCTAGAAAAGGTATTTATCAGTCAACCATGCCAGAGAGTACAGTGTTTAAAAACGGCCACCTCAAACAAAGGTGCTCGAACAGAAAAGGCACTCATAGCAAACAATGAGAAATGAGAACTCACAGTTATCTGCATGAGCTTCTCTCGGCAAGTCTCGAGGCCCTCGTTGATGAACTGGTAGAAGAGGGAGTTGAACTCGCGCTCACAAGAAAGGATGTGCAGGAACTGGTAATGGACCTGCGTCTCTTCAAAGTCATCCAACTGCCATGAAAAAAAAATTGAAAATCAAAAAGAAATACACGATCACAATGACTTCGTGGATTGTGCTGTGCAGGCTAGGGCAAATCAAAAGCGCGCTAAGACCATGCCCGTTTTTTTGAGAGCACGCCGAATTGATTCCTACAAGCAAGACTTTATCAAGATATCAGAAGTTACGTTTCCCTTTTACAAACCCTTGCTACACTCGAATCTCATTATAACAAAGTCGCATCTTACAAAAAATAGGTTCGTTATATCCAAAAATTTGTTATAAAGGTATATTTCTGAAACTATAGTTATTGCAAGACTATTCTTCATTTATTTCATCATAACCGATATTTTGTTATATGTGGGTCTGTTACATCGAGATTCAAGTGTATTACAAAGTTATAAGAGCCACCGCTGGCACTTGCTAAATCGGCACGAAACGAGTCAATTCACTGTCAAGTGCAACTTGGTCGTCCACTTAACATCTTGTTAGCTGTGCTGACTTTGCGCAACAACGCGTAGCGACACTATTAAACGACAGATGCGCAATATAGACTACTCCACTGAGTCACCTGTTCATCCCATTTACACAAGTCAAACGGTATCAAAGCAGCACAGTCTCACACTGTTGATTGAGCCAAAGGCAAGCTTGTAGATGTACTCGTGTATCTCCTCGGAACGTGGTACGAGTAGCAAGAGCAGCTCCTCTTGTAACGAGGCTGAAAATGTAACAACATGCCACAACTTAATACTGAGATTCCTCACTTGACATTCATTCACGAGTACAGGTTTGGTAAGCGATGTAAGAGAGCAAATTTATTTATTTATTTATTTATTTCAATATACTGCGGGCCAACTTGGCCCTAGCAGGAGGGGCAATACACATGAAAGAAAGAAAATACAAGGATGGCTTAACACATGCAACGTACAATTTTGAACCAACCTGGATGCATAAAATTGATTGCACATAACAATCGGTGCATAAAATTAGTAACGCTCATACGTAGAGAAATAAAACAACATCAGCACTAAGGAAACATATAATCTAACAAAAAATATGCTCTTCCAGAACTTGAACGAAGTGTGGGGACATGATAATTGAATCTAGAAGTCTGTTCCAGTCCACTATAATTTTGGGAAAGAAGCTATTTTGAAATGACTTAGCTTCAGCAAAAATAGGTTTCAGTGCATGAGGTCTACACTATGTATTTATCGCAAATACTAATTGAATTTAAAAAGAGCAAACTTATTATGCTCTTGAGCAATCATACCCACGTTACTCTTAGTTAGTCTGAGTTGCCACAACATAAAACAATTTCCAGTCACACCTTGTTTTGCATAAGCAAGGTCACGAATAATTATCAGACTTCCTAATGCAAAATCCGAGTGAAGTTGGATTCTGCCAGAGGCAGCACTGAGCCTTTGCTCAAGCAGGGGGCCTTGCAGCAGCCATGAACAAAGCCCTTCCCCCTGTTGCATTGCTCATTGTTTAGAAAGAAAGCGTGTGAAAACTGGAAAGCATGGCTTGAGTATGCAGTTCAGCCTCGGTACAGCAAAGTAAACAACAAACGCCCATCCAAGTCGGTGCGTGACAAATACAGGCTCCTGATAAATACCAAAATACCACTTTGACTGCACTTATCACGACGATACAGTCGTACCCCTTTAAAAATAAGAAAATGCATACGTGGTACCCTGCTTATAGCAGACATCTCATATAGAAGATAAGAACTGCTGCCTAGAGCATGCCTCTTATGAAAGGGTTCAACTACACAAGTTTAGTGGCATAGCATTTTGTTTTTCATAATAATGCCCGGGGTTGTTATGTCTCAAAACCATGATAACATTATGAGAGACGCCATAGTAGAGGGTTCTGGGAAATTTTATTATCTGATGTTCTTTATTGGGCACTGAAATTACACAGTACACGGGCGTCTGCTATTTTGCCTCCATCGAAATGCAACCGCCGCGGCCGAGATCGAAGCTGCGACCTTCGGGTCAATAAACGAGCATCTTAGCCACTGACCGCCGCAGCGGACCATTTTTTTTCCTGCATGGCCCTTCCACATCTGTGTCCTTTCTGCACTAACACTAAAATTAATTAAAAATCTGTGCAGAAGAAAAAATTCAGTAGACCTTGCCGAATCCCGAAAATAGGGGCAAGCAAATCTTCGCGTGCACATGCCTGACCTACTACTCCCTTTCTATCGCATTGCACAATGCTACATCTTGATTGTTAACTTTTTCAGGTTGTGTATCGGACCATCACGTGCGTGCTTAGAAGAGCAATGCTCCTGTTGCTAAAGGCAACAATGCAGGTCGTGCATTCACATCCAGGCAACAATGAATCGTGGCAACGTGAAACGACAAGTGTCCTTGACAAAAGATCAGACTTGCACATCAGAAACAGCTGATCCACGACAAGCCCGCACTTGAGACAGCATGAATTAAGTAATGGAAAACTGTGCGTGCAGCTGCGTAAAAGACCGGCACACATATCAAGCCCAGTACTTCTGTATGCTCGTGGCACCAGGTTTTTCACACAACTCAAACCTCAATGTACCGTATTGACTCGCATAACAGGCACACCCCCAGTTTAGGTCAGGAGAAGTCAGATTTTTTTTTGTTTCCGCGCATAATAGGCGCACACCGAACTTGACCGTGATCACTAGTTCTGAAACGTATTTGCACTGATGCATTTCGATGCCCTCATATGTTTTCTTGGTCCTGAACCAGAAACATCGTATCACAGCTGCTCTTGGATCAATGCTGAATTCAATCTTTTCGACGCCCATTCTTCATGTTGTCATGTAAAAACATCCCTCAACATGCGGAACCGTAGGCTAAGCCTAATCACTGTTCAGTGCTTTTCAGTGGTAGTCACGGGCCATCATATTGCGGTGTTGTACGGAATCAACGTAACTCTTTTCGGAGGCTCTACCTAAAGAAAAAGTGGCTCGGGTGGTGCTTGTAACACTTGTGTGGCGGTTCTCGATTCTACTGCAATGTCTTGGATATGGCTAGTGAGCCCGTGAAATCGAACTATCGGTACCGTTCAGCGCATAAATAATCTATGTAGCCTGAAACATAATTAGCTAATTTTCGTGATGGCACTTTCTTTTTGTAGTTTTTTTTTTTTCACATTGATTGGGGCTGAAGGAGCAGAGTTAGAAAAGGTCCAGAAAACCGTGCAACAAGTCAGTCACCTGATGCACGAAAAAGATCCAGGCGTTGATCAAGCAGACACTAGAATGCACGAACAGCAAAGAAAATGTGAGATACACGAATGCAGCGGCTTACCTTACAAATGACCATTTCGCTATAAGCGTGGTCGGCGAAAAAAGTAAAGAAGTGAGAGCAACATCTATATGTGTGAAGGACGCGAGTACAGTGGAAAAACCGGGCATAGCTCTGGCCATCTCTACATGCAAGAAGACGCAGGCTACCCTGATAACGGATTTGCACGAGGTGCGCAGAAGATACATGAATGGATGGATTGGAAACACAGCACATGCCTTAAAAAGCACCAAGGTGGACAAAACAACCATCTTTTGGACACAGGGACACGAATCTCTCGCAAAGAAACCAGGTGGCACACACCTCGGCTCGAGATCGCGCATGCCGAGGCATCTCCGACACGCTGGGAACACGTACTAATGGCTGTCACAACGAGCATCAGCACATACAGAAGAAGAACATTTTGGCACGTTATAGGAAGCAGAGGAAGGGTTACCCGCCGGCACACAAGTCTGAGTAGGGAGCAAGCAGCGACTTGGAGAAGACTCCAAGCCAGCACCTATCCGCACGAAACATTGATGCACGCAATGTATCCAAGGATCTACGGGTGGGACTGCAAGTTTTGCCCTCAGGACACGCGCAGCCCTCAGCACTACATGGTGCTGGAGTCTGGAACAACAATCCAGACTTTTCACCGTCGTCCCCGCCAACTGAGAACGAAGAGAAAGAAACAGGTCCGGAGGAAGTATTTGAAGACCAGTGGGAGGCTCTGCTAGTGACACAAGACCCTGAAAACCAGCTACGGTTGGTTAACAGAAATTGGGCGGGGTTAGCGGTTCATGGCTACCTGGACTGAGGAGGCCACCCACCTTAGGGCTGAAGTACAAAGAGCCTGGTCCAAATAAAGTTAATTTCTCTCTCTCTTTTTCATTCATTTTGTTGGTAATGTGGGCCTTCCGAAGTTAATTTTTGAAAATTCGATAGCATTGCCTATCCCGATTTTCGGACACGCGAAACTGTGTTTTGCGTTAGTGTAGCCTATGAAGAAGGTTGTTTTGGCTGTAGGGCGGATACTGGTGACTTCGGCTACATATACAATCTCAGCTGTAGTCTGAAATAAAATTTTCAGAAATTGTATCTTGCGTAATAAGCGTACCCCGAACTTGGAGCTGGACTTTCTGGGAAAAAAAAGTGCGCCTATTATGCAAGCAAATACAGTAATGAACCTGGTCATGACGAATTATCGGTTATAACGAAGTAAGTGAAGAATAGCTCTATAATAGGCACAGTGCTACAAATATATGTTTATACGAAATTTTCCAATATAACAAAGTATATTTGTGGCAGGTGAGACTGTTATAATGAGGCTTGAGTGTATGACACTGAAATTTGTGAGTTATCAGAGCTTCGCTGAGACAGAATTCTTCAACAAGAACTCACAGTCGCCGTTCAACGGCTTGGCCTCGTGGTAGAGGGCTATGAAGAGCTGCGCTGCCCTGAGTGTGTGGTGCCGTGCGAGGTAGGGCCTCGTGCTGGCCGCGCTCAGGATCACGACGCTGCCCTCTAGAAGCTTCTCCCACGTGACATCGCCGCACAGCAGCCTCGCATCGTGGAACAGCACAGCCATGCGGGCGAGCCGGCGCACGCAGGTCATGCTTGTCATCGAGCTCTGACCTGGAGAGAGGGGAACGACGAGACGCATCTATAGAGCAGCGGACTTGGCACGCTAGGGGCAGTAACAGTGCCGCGACAATGAGATGCGATGGCGCCACACGTGCACAAATACCTGCATGTGCGTTAGTTCTTCAACACGCATCAAACATGCATCGTTTCACATACATCATTTGAACATCACTATTTTTACACTAACTCCCCCATTCCCTCCTCCATATTTTTTCTTTTGAAGATGTTTTATCAAGCAGTAATATTAAACTTTCGTGTAATGAACTTTGACATGGTTAACTACTAGTTCTATAAACTAGATCTAATATCTCCAACACTGCTTTTTCAAAAACAATACCATTAAACAATGTAATGAACTTGCCTATAGCATGTATTTGGATATAATGAATGGAATGAAGGCTTCTTACAATATTGTTCTAATATCTGCATATAAGAAACATATGCTTGTAACAAGTATATTAAATACAGTCGAACTCTTTTATAAGAGACACTGATGTTTTATAAAAGATAAGTGAGTATCGGAGGCACCAGGGTGCCTACATCGAAATAGGTGTCGGTAAGAACACTCATATGTGATACCCTGTTTATTAAAGACACCTTATATAAAAAGACAATAATTGCTCTTGGTGCATATAAAGAGGTTCAACTGTATACCAAACTACATATATCAATAGCATTAATGGTGTTTCTTCAATAAGCAAATCAAAACTCAATGTAATGAACTAAACTTAAGGAAATAATCGCAAGTGATTGGTTGAACATCTTTGTCAGAGACACGCAGTTCTTGTTTCTTATATGAGGCATCTCTTGCAAGCAGAGTAGTCGATTCTAAATTTCTGATTAACCACTATTTTGATGTGAGCACACTGGTTTCTTACACCCAGTTGTCTGTTGCATCAGCGCCCCTCCTGAAAAATTGGGGGACCCTTAAACTTCGCCTTCAAAAGTTAACCGCGGTAGCTATATCCTGTCCCTAGTGTGTAATTCAAGCACTTGGTGCATTAAATATTTTAGAACTTGCTATGCACCCGCTACATGGCTTTGAAAGGGAATAGGCTCAGTAACATGTGTGCATTTTGTAGTGGGCGCCTGGCTTTAAACCATGAGGTCATTAGGACAATCGTATTTCTCTATCTACCTCCTCTTTCTTGCCCCTACTTCCCCGCCCCCAGCGCTGGGTAGCAAACCAGATGCCAATATCTGGTTAACCTCCCGGCCTTTCCTTTCTCACTCTCTCTCTCTCTCGCTCCGACGCCCCATGGCAATGTATGCTTGTACCACGCATTATTATGGCAATATTTTGTGTCGTATTGTGAAGCATGTATACAAGACGCGTGTGTTTGTAAAGCATGAAAGTAACTTCCACTGCATTTCCAAGCAGAGGAAGTTATTTTCATTGTATTCACAAGCAGATGCGTGAATTTGGGGTAAAACACTCCCTTGTCATGCAAACGACCATGGGTTGATCCCCACTCAAACCTAGAATTTACTAATATACTAATTTATTTTGTTTCCATCTTTCTCTATTTCTCAGTCACGCACAAGATGATTTTTCGCTCACAGCCAATGACGCCAACACCGATGCTGAAGTTTCTGCGAAACAAGCTCTCAAACACTATCACGTTAAAAGTTCATCTGAAATGAGCTGCATTTTAGATATTGCTTACCAATACCAGCAATATAAGCCTATGCTTATAAAGAATTCTAGATAGAACATGGGTATTTTTGTGTCCGACATGTCACGAAGAGGTTTGTCCGTACTACACACTTGCGAGAACAAGCCGTACCGCAGATGAGAAGCATCCACCAGGAAGCATGTGCAGCGGTCCGTGAACCATGCAGTTGTGCGCTGCGAACAGACTTCTATCTGACATGCACTTCAAACTATGTAGGAAAGACAAGACGAAGGCACTGATGAACTCCTTCAGTGACATCCAACATACTAAAATTGCATAGTTACATAGTTTCTAACTTTGCAACTTTAGAAACTTTCTTGTGTTGCATAATCGTTTTCACGAAAATCGGGAATAGGCAGAACGAAATCTACGATGCCATTATCATTACCACTGATCCCTTTCCAATGGCAGACAGTTTTTGCAGATACGATTTGTATGTGCTCCAGTTAATTCTGACAAGAATGAAGTTAAGGGGCATGATGAAGGCTGAAAGCAATCATAAGTCAAACAGGATTCCAACCCAAAGCCCTGACTAACATAAGCAAGCATCTACGCCAAAATGTTGGTGCCAGTGACACTCCTTCTTCCTAGTTAACACTGAAGTCAAGATGGCTCCACCAGCACTTTGATATCAGTATCTCTGATTTTTTTAAATAATATTTCTTAATATGAATAACCTAGAAATAGGCTAAAGCTCTTTCACATACAGTTTGTCTTTAATGGGGCCCTGCGATGCATTTTCTTCTGCAATCTGCAGCATGGAAGTTCGTGTAGTGCCGAATACTGAAATGGGCTGAAAAATAATTATCGCAATCGATAAACGGTAACGGAAGTTATTAACCTTCACACTTGAAAACCCCTACGGACGACAAGATAAAGAAGTTCTTTTTTGCATTTTATTCTCCCACTGACATCAAAGGCCATTTACAATCATCGCGCACCCCAAAAAAAGGCATACTGGACGACTTGCCTCGTTGTGGTAGTTGTGCGGCGCTCTTAGCAACGAGGGAAGCATAAAGGGTGCTATTATAATTTTTAACGAACAATAGTGCAGCCTATCTGGAACTGCATGAATATCACACGCGACTTGTCGGGTTGAACCAATCAAAACGCATGCCCAATGTAGTCACTCCCACGTGGGGAAGCGTCACTTACGGTCACAAAAATGGCCACCCTGTGTCTCTCTAGTCAGAAAACACCGTGGTTTGTTTTATTGGCGTTGCTTCTCATGCAAGGGTATCAGTGCATTCCACAGTTTGAGAAGAAGCAATGAAAAGAACACAGTTACTTTGTGTCACAAAGCACTTTTCAATGAGTAATAACACTAACTTTCAAAGCTGAGTTTATATTGCCATACAAGTCTCCTGAGTACATAGGCGGCTATGAGCAAGTATGAAGCTCGTAAAATGTTGCTGAGATATATATTATTTTTCCATTTATATCAATTTTTGCATGGTGCACCTACTGATATGAACACCATGATGATGTCAGGCTATCGTATGAATCCCGGCGACTTTACACACCAGTATGGCTAGTTGCGATCACGTCAGATACCAAAACATTCGAGATGGCCGTCTGTGCGTCACTAAAAACATACAGAACGGCTCCTTCAGCATCACTACCGGAGCTAAAGAACGAAGAAGCTGTGAAAACTGGACGTGAAGCTCATACACATGATGTGAAGCTCACACCGTGTTGTGCCGTCAGGGTATAGCTTTTAAAAACATACTGCAATTAAGAAAGGGAAAGAAGACAGCCACCCGTTTTGTAGTATGAAGCCACAAGGAAATCCGTACGGATTTCTCAGAAAGGAAAGCTTCTAAGTTGTTGAAAAATTCGTCCTAGTCCAGGGTTCGAACCCGGGACCAACGTCTTTCTGGGTTGACAACTAAGAAGCTTTTCTTTGTAAGAAATCCGTACGGATTTCCTTGTGACTTCGTGCTACAAAGCGGTGGTTGTTTTCTTTCCTTTTCTTAATCATTCCACCACCTTGTGGTTTCCGCAGAACTCATTTGCGATACTGAATTAATTTTTCAGGGAGCATTCATGCTTACTAGAGCAACTTCTAGGCTCTTGGAATCTTGGCTTTTCTTTTGACGAAAGAAAACATGAAAATGTTTGTGTCAGTACCTCATAAAGTCTCGCAACCGGTGGTCACGTACATGCATCTAAAGACAGCAAGTTTAAGTTTACACAAGGCGATGTCTTGGCAGCAAAAAAAAGAAACATAACGGAGACCCTCCGGCAACATGCAGGGAATTCACCCTAAAGTCATGTTCACCACCACCACCACCACCACCAACTTGAAGTGTGTAACGGTCTGTGCTAAAGAGGAATGCTCTGGCAACAACAGCCGGCCCATCAGGAAAACTTGCCGTGCCGTGCAAGCCTGCTTCCCCGGAGCACCGTTCAGGCATTGCCACTTACAACTGGCTTCGATAAGATCCTTAACTGAGTGTGCCAGAAAGCTGGTCACATCGGCCGGCCGGAGGCCTGGTTCTTCAGAGTCCTCGGTCAGGAGGAGCTCCCGCAGCGCAGACACCGTCCCTTTCCACTGAGCCGTGCCTCTCGTCATGACTTCCTCCTGATCGAAGAGGCCCAGGAAGGCCGACAGCTGGTGGTACGTCACTTTTGTCTGTAACAAATCCAAGAATGTTAATTATGCCACGTTGTCGTGGCATCAACAAAGGCGGCAGAGACAACTTGTCCAAAATTAAACTGTTTGTTTGGCCAAACTTGTGGCCGGTAAACGGAAAGTCCGCTTACAACGATACACGCTGGCACTGATAGCGTTGAACAGAACGTCGGACGTCGATTGACTGAGAAGCGGTGAAGCGTTTCGGCATTTATGCATGTGCCGTCAAATACTCCAGCATTATCGCTAGCGGCAACGTAGGTTCCAGAATAATCTGTAATGTTCATGTTGCACCCATAATCTTAACAAAATTATCTATTACAGTCCTGAAGCTTCTCAAACGCTGCTGTCGTGGTTCGCGCTGAGAATTGCAGTGTAACAGAGAGATAACAAAACTTGAGGAAGGAACGTGGCAATAATAATAGTTTGTTTGCTCGCACTGTCAACCCAAACAGCGGCTGTTACAGGAGAGCAAGTTAATACAGTTGCACAAGAAAACAGACAGTGCTGTGCGGTACGTCGAGCGAAAAATGGCCAGGCAGCATTTATGAATAGTGACACAGAGCAAAGACAAGCAAGTACACTTATGCTGAGTGCATTGTAAGCATAAATCAACAAAAGAAAAACGGCAAAGCAGTAAAGTTGATCAGGAGTCAGAATACATTAAAAAGAGCACGTCAGAAAAATAAAGTATGTGCCCTGATGCAATTGTATCAGAGAAAATAAGTGGATCTAAAGCTACACTAACAGTTCTGATGGAGGAACATACCGCTGCACTTTGTAGTTTGTTCTATTCTTTTTTTGCTTTAGCAGAGAAGCTGAATTTGAATGTGTCATTATGGATAACTGCCGGCTGTATGTGAAAACTGTGCCTGTGTCTGGAACACTGATCTGGAGAAATTAGAAAGAATTCAAATTAGTTCATTTTAACCTGGTTATGAATCGGGAATAGAAAGTTTCTGTCACATCAAACCTTAGTTCTAAAGCAGCAACTCGCTAGCCTTTTAAAGTAGGAAAGTTTGTATAGTTACATAGCACAGATGCGGAGTGCATGTACTGTATTAAATACCAATCTTTGGCTTTACATCCCAGAACCATTAGTTTAAGAGAGACAGCTTAGCGCAGAACACTGGAACTTTTGACCACTTGGGCCTCTTTACCATGCACTTAAATCTAATCATGCAAAGTCTTTAGCAATTTGCCTGTGTTTAAACACAATGGCCATGGCCGATATTTGATCCCATGACCTTCGGGTCAGCAATCAAGCCACATAACCACTAGACCACTAGACTAGTCGGGAACAAAAACTACCTACTTCCAAATCAAGAGGGACATTGTCACGAACTTGAACAAAGTGCTTCACAATGTCTTGCAGTCCAGAATCATTCTACAGGATCTTCCCACCGAGATTCGTATCAAAATTTTCACACCAAAATCATTCAATAAGGTGAACCAAAACATTACGGCAAAACTATATGCAGTTTACCGCACTTACCGGATCAAGTAGCCGCAGGCAAATGACCAACAAATAGCACTGGGCAGCTGCACGTAAGACAGGCTCCTGGAACCGCTGTATGTCAACAATGATTGCCCTGGAAGATGATGTCTCATCAGAACTGGCCAAATAATTGTGTGCACTGCAGGAAGAAGAGAAGCAACGAACCCAACACTGACTAGCGCCGAGTCGCCCAGGATTGGCTGCTTCTTGAGGCCGAGCAGGGCATAGCTGATGTACATAAGGGAGACACCGTTCCAGGACTGCTTTGACAGCGCCGCAAACAACTTGTCAAGGAAACCTCCTGTGTTGTGTTGAAGGAAAAACTGTGCGATACTTGCGTACACTGCACGCTCGCATTGGCATTCAACACTGCAGGAATGAAGCATTCATCATTGCTGCGCTTACTGCACGGCCGTAAGCATAGTAACAATGGTCCAGTCATGACATAAAACTTTGCACACAAGAAGAGGTATAGTGACCTCTACAAATTTATTCAGCTTGCATCAGTTAATGACTTAAGTTATCGATAAGCTAAGATCTATTAAAACGAAGATCATTCTATGCTCAGAAGTACAGTTGAACACCTTAATAAGAGACACATATGAAGGAGCAGTTGTTTTCCGTTATACAAGGTGTCTAATATAAGCAGGTAACCATGTTCTTCAATTCTGATCGAACCCTAATACGATTCAAGCGCACTGGTGTGTCTCTTATACCCGAATGTCTCTTACATCAGAGTCTCTTACAAAGGAGTTCAACTGTAAACAGAATCAACGTGAACAGACAGAGGAATACCACAATAAATTAAAATGCTTGCTGTTTTTAACTATACCCAAGTTGGAATACTGAAGTTTGACGCATCTCCAGAGCTTGACAGATATAGGGGAAAAGAATGGAGAGACAGAAAAACTAAAGAACAATAAGGAGCTGTGAATATTTCGTACCGAATTTGTTCACAGTTGACAGAATGTCACGGCAGTGTTTGAAGAAGGATTCAAGGCTTTTTGCCAGACGGGCTGGGGAACCAAGCGGATCGGCGTCTTCCCTTGAGAGAAACAGAAAAGGCTAGTTTTAACATATTTAAAGTAACGTGTTAACATAGACTTGTATAATGTGGCCCTGAATGCCTTGAAGTGTTCACCTATTATAGTAATAGTTGAACACACAACTGCCAGAAAAGAAACCGATTTGTAAGATGTTTGATAGAGCACCCAAAATGAAACACACAACTTCTTTTGTTTAATGTCATCAAAGAGTGCAGTAAAATCTGTGCGAATACTGCATACCGATAGCTGGCCCACAGGGCAGATTAACAACTTTTATTTATTTTCATGCACTTGACTTATTTCGGCCGTTACATGGCTTCCTCCAGAAAGGCAAAATAAACAGTTCACTTGAACTTCCTGACTAAGGCCATTACCTTGATAAAGCACCAGTAGTAGTTGTCTAGTTAATATTTTTTAAGAAGTAACACAAGTACTGTAGTATCTCACTGGGCAAATATATCAGTGATCTCTGATGACAAAAGACAACTATTGTAATATAACATTCCTAAACTAGTGTAAGGTTTTAATTTTATTCTGTGAAGCATGCCACAGTAGAACTTCCACTTGATATATGATATGTTGGGTTTAGCAGTCCCGAAACCACCATATGATTATGAGTTGCCGTAGTGGAGGGCTCCGGAAATTTTGACCACCTGGGGTTCTTTAACAGGCACCTAAATCTAAGCACACAGGCCTCAAGCATTTTCGTGTCCATCAAAAGCAGCCGCCGCAGCCCGGATTCCATTCCACGACTAGCGGGTGAACTTCCACTTGAAATCAGCCAATTGGAAAAATATTGGTTGACAATTCAATCGATCGATTGAGACTGAATGAAAGACAATGTTGGTATTGTAGAAGAAGATGGCCTATATTAGCCGCCTTAGCAACGATTTAACCATTTCAAAGTGCAAATTTCCCGTCTCCCCTCCTGTTTTTCTTTCAGCTTGCACAGCAAGTCGAGTTTTCAAGTACGAACCTACTATTTTGCAAAAAAACGTTGCTTGAAAGTAACACTAGCCAGTATAACTCTACACTAACACATACTGGTTTTACACAGCTAAATGAGGTAGTTGAATTTCCCGTGAACTGTTAAGGGTCAGCCTACATTTTTGGTAAGAAACGATACTCTATTACGGAATGTGGATGGAGGACAAGGAAGACATCTCAGGTTAGGTTAGAATACGTTAGGCACAAGAAAAAAAGTACCAGTCTGATAAAGCTGCGAATAATCAAGTAAGTGCCGCATCACACACCTTGCAAAGATGGCACAGTCGTTCAAGGAGTGTGTGAGTGGGCCCAGTACAAACTGCAACAAGAAGAGCCGTTAGCACGAGACACTTCCGCTGACATCTGTATGCCAAACGATAATGCTGCCATGTTTCAACAGTCCCCTCTCACCCTCTCCATGTCGTTGTCAAACATCAGCTTAACCAAAGCCGGGGAGCTCGTGAACTTGGAGATCGCCCACTTGACCACAGTTCGGCTCTCGTGCGTCAACATACGGTTGAACACCAGGAGTGTCCAGGAGACGTGGACCTTCAAAGAATTCTCCGCACGTTCCAAGAATGATGAAAACTTTGCCAGCATCGGCTTCACAACGTGGGGCTGAAATGGATCAGTGCCACAGCTTGTGAATCGTACTTAGGGCACGTCTGTATGGTTTCAAAAGAATCATCACCGATTGACGGTAATTAATGACAACATCAATGGAAAATTTTGTTTGCTGAATAGAGATGCTCTTCAGCTAAGTTTGCAGTGTTCTTTCAATGACACACCAAGTTACCAATTATAGACATTTAAAATTTCAATGTGGCTGTTCATAAAAACGAAAAAAGGGGAGAGGTTATGGGGAAGATGGAAGCATGAACATGTGAAAAGTTCTTGAACATGGGGTTTCGCTGGAGCGACCGTTTCAACAAACAGACTAGTCTTCTCCGCGACTTCAACCCTGAAGAATACAAGCGTGCTTGAACATTAGAGTTGCAGCCTCAAAGAAGTCAAGTCTACCTGTCAAAACGTTGGCTCGAACAATGCCCCATGTTCAAGAAGTTTTCATCTTTTCAGGAAAGCAAACAATAACATGACCATTTGAGTTGAACATTCAGCATATTCCATGTCGTCACAATATAAGATTCTCAACATCAGTTTTTACTAGCTTGAGCATGTCGCTGCTCATAGATTACGATGACCAAATTGTGCTGGTGGGCTAGTTGGTTTGTCACGCTACGTATAAACAGCACAACTGAACATGGACACAGTAGAACATAATGTAGGTGTGGGTGTTCTACTCTGTGTTCAGTAGTACTGTTCAAAGTTAGCGTTGCATATAACGTTATAATGTTACAAGAAGTGATGTACTCCTAGTATTCAAAAATGACATAACAAAAGTTCTCAAAGCCCTCTATGCTGTATGTTGCCTTTGATTTCTCCGGAATACAAGTAAGTCATTGTTAACTTATAAAGGATTATTTAAAACAGAAACTTCTGGGTGGCATACAAACATCTACTTTTGGTCACTTTACCAGCTTATGAAACTTACATTAATGGCAACAGAAGGCGCCTTCTTGACAAAGGTTCGATTTATTAGCACACCTTAAGCTAAAGGTCCCCTTCAGTCTATTGTTGCACTAGTCTCATCAAAACCCACTTTTAGGTGGAAAATCGGTCATCTAAATGCTCGTATTTATGGTTAGTGTCACCATGTAAACCCCCTTTTTTTCCTGCATCTTTATTACAGTGTCAATAAGAAATAACGAACTTCACTACAGGTCATCAGAGAAGAGTTTCACTACATCATAATAGGTATATTGGTTATTATGATACAGTCAAACTTTTTTGTAAGCACGTTGACAGGAGGGTGCCAAAGGGGCTCTCGCCCTCTACCCCCATGCTGCACCAGCAGTTGTCGCCTCCCCACCATGATGCGACACGGGTTTGCTACCCTCAAGACCAAATCCTGATAATGTCCATGATGATATATCAAAGTATTTGCGTGCACAAGCAAAAGCCTGTTAATTGTAATTGTGTATAAGTGAAACTCCTCCCACCTGGCATATGAATTTATGCCTTAGAGGTGCATACAAGCGTCATAAAATGTCAATGTGTCCTTTTGCAAGATTTTGCAAGTCACATTGATGCCCCCGCAGTGCAAATTGAAAGTGAAGCGCATACATTTAACGTTAAAGATTGGCCGCAGCAAAAGATGCACTAAGACGTGACACACGATACAAGCTGTACTACAGCGCACCACACAACTCAGCACAGAGATTCCATGTTGGAGACATGCCTTTGCAAAACGAATGCACCCTGAGTGGCATGCCAGGCTTTACTGAAGCACGGCACTCACTTGAGGTGACACTCAAACGAACCTGCTTCTCTTCAAGCACTTCCAGACGAGAAAGAGTTCTTGCCAAACAGCCATCAGCTCGGTCCGCTTCGTCCGGGTTCCAAGAGAAAAGGACGCCCGAGAGGGACAACTTCTCGTCGCAGCAAGCATCCAGGACATGCTTCATGACGTACATCGACCTCTTTCGCGTCAAGGAATCCGGGTGCACCAAGCCGTGCTGCAAAATCAGCCAGAATAGGTCATCGCAGACTTCCGCGGAAGAACTGTCATCGTCGCTGCGGAGTACGGTGCGTCGCAGGTACTGCGCAAGCCCGCAGAGTATCGCGAAACCCCCTTGGTGCTTCTCCTCCAAATACCCATTCTCGTTCGCTTCGAAAAACGAACGCACCACCTTCCAGGGCTCTCGTGACGAACTGCGTGCAAGTCTTTTTCGCGTACGGTAGCGAGTTCTGGGACGTATCTCGCAATTACCTGAGACACGATTGCCGGTTTGCCTACTTTCAGGGCCTCTAGCATCAGCTCGGACAACTTTTCGAGGCGTTCAGAGACTGCGAATTCGTCACCCACTCGAACCAGCGTTCGACAACATTCGAAGCACAAGTTTAGGATCGGCAACGAGGGTTCGACGGTGTCGCTGAGACTGTCGGAGATGAACGTCTCCACTGCACTGGCGACGCAGTCGTATGCCTCCCCGAGTTCGCTTTCTCCGAGTATGCTGGCGCACTTAAGAAGCGGCGGCACGACGTCTGATACGGTCGCCGTAAACACCGGAGAGTGGCCCAAGTTGGAGGACGACTCGCGGAGGATACCGGATACTGCGGGTGTTACGACCCGTACGAGCCGGCGCAGGCCGTCGGCGTAAGTCTTCCTGACATCCAAGGACGCGCCTTGGGCGACGCGAAGACATGGGTCTTGGAGAACTAACCTAGTTGTGCGAATCAGGGAATCGCGAGGTGGCCAGGCCCCCGAATCGCCGCCTGCCGGGGACTGCGATTAGAGTAGCCCCGCCAACAGCTTTCGAGCTTTTCCAAGAGACCGATCACCTCGTTGTCACCGCAGCAGCCGGCAGTGATGAGCGCGAAATCTTCCAGCTCCATCCCGGAAGAGTTCACAGAGGTGTTCCACAAACGGGTGTTCGGCAAGCTCTGTTGGAACTTGGACGGGGTTGCACACCTTACCACCACTTACATCCGGGTCGCATACTTGCGTGTTTACACGAAACCGAGGTTACCGGCGGCGCGCACTGCAGCGCTGCAAACAAACAAATTACTTGTCAATCCGTGCGTTAACCCTTCGTTGAGTTCAAGTGCCAACCCGAAAGCACGTGTAGCGAGCCAACCGAAACGACCACAAATAAATGCACACTATCATCATCAATATATATGCAAAGTAGACAAGGATTTACGTGTGATATGTCGCTGGCGCGTAAAATATATACTACACTATAACTACACGCAGTGGTTTGGTTTTTAGCCAGAGTAGTACTGAACCCAACGACGCTGCTTCACTTTCTGATAAACGAAAAAAAAAAAAAGATGTTTACGTTTACATCTTCACATCTTGTTTACAACATGGCCGCCCTGTAACGGAGATGCAGAACGGGAGTCGACTCCGTTCTGCTTTAGAAGCTTCGCTTAGTACAAATTTATTCGCTTTTGCAAGGGAACGGTGCAAAGGCGAACGCCTGCAAAGATGCCGGCGCTGATCGAACGACCCAAGATGAGTCTTCAGATGTGGGCGGCCCTGAAGAACCACATCATGCGTGAGCGAGAAAGGAAAAAACAGGAACAAGAGGCTGACGAAGCAATAGAACGGTTGCGCCGGGAGCAGGAATTGAAGCGCAAGCAAGATGCCATGACGTTGGAAGAAATTAAAGATCAGGTGAGCTCTCGGGTGACAGGCTAATACGAAGTAGCCAGTGCTCGGGGAGAGATAACATGCTGCGCTGAGCCAGTACTTGTTGTTGTTGGGAACGCTACCTCCACTCATTTAAAACCTCCCGCAGCACCTGCCGCATTTCGTAAAAAGAACGTCGCGATCAAGTCAAATTGAAACGGTGGTAGAATGCGTCGTTGGCGATTGAAAGTGACCTGAAGTTTCGTTTCTAACGCGTCCGTGTTGGCGGGAGATTCCAGGAATAATTCCGGCGTCGGGGGCACGGTCAGTTTCGATCGCGATTGGGCCTGTTCATGATCGAATCGCTTGACCGTGATTGGCCCCTTACTCAAGCGTCAGAGGGTAGCCAATCACCGTTCATGGAAATCTGATCACTATCGAGCTGAATCATGATCGGCAGTGCTCCGTGTGTATTGTTTTTTTACTTGAATACCTTTTCCACGTACCTGCAGTGCGCACAGCGAAATCTCTGTGCTACTAATCGTCTCTGCGTGACGCGGAAGCTCCGAATGCGCTCAATGAAACCTCCTAGTTCAGTTGTTGCTAGTGCATGGAACATTCTACTTTGAACGTAACCTTTTATTTGGGCGGTATTACTAAGTTGCTGTTGCAGTTTTGATTGTTTTCTTTTACTCTTATACTGGCCGTAATGTGACTTTCAATCCTGGCAGAGCTTGATTGGTATTTAATGCTTGGACCGTGACTGGCTCTCTTCTACAATTAGCACGAATGGAGGTAGTCTTGATCGTGTTTCAAATACGGAGAAATATTCTCACTACCTTGTATATTTGTTTATTGGGGGGACTATGCTACAGGTGACGCAGTCGGAGAAGAAACTCAAAGAGCTGAAGGAAGAGAAGCATCAGCTTTTTATGCAACTCAAGAAAGTACTCCACGAAGACGACACCCGCCGCCGAGCACTCGACAAAGAGGCCAGTGAAGTGGCTGCAGCGCAGGCCGCTGCTGTGGCCAGTCACGCTTACGCCAATCACCAGGCTCTCAGCATTGTGGGTGGTGCAGGCCAGGCCCAGCCGCTTTACATCCAAAGCCTCGGCCGCACGCCTGTCCTGTACAAGATGACCAGCCCGCAGTCCTGGTGGCGCAGTCAGGACGCACCCAAACACGCTGAAACGGCCTCACACGCCACCGTCACCACCCCTCACGTCGCACACCCAGGGCGGTTACCAGACACCCCAGTTCACCTACAAGGCACAGGTAACCGCGTACGGCTCGAAGCTGGTTCCGTATCCGACAGTTGTGACGTCTGTAGCGTCACAGCAGTCTCCAGTCTACTTCACGCCTCACCACATCATTCCCGGCGGCGAAACAGCAGGGTCGCCAATCTACGGCGCGTACACATCACAGTTTGCTACTTCTCACCCTTCAACAGCGACAGAGCTCACATTGAAACAGCACGGGGTCGTCACACCCACCTCGTCTTCGTCGTCGCAGCAAGGGCAAGGTTACACGCACATCTCGCAGCAGGCCTTCCAGAAACACATGGAGCATGGCAGCAGCAAGGGAACCGCATCGTCGTCATCATCGTCGGCCAACAGCTACGGTGACGAAAAATTTTACGTCCAGACGAGTGTGATTCCTCGGTCTTCGCTCCCAGGGTCGCTCGTGACGGGGCAGCCAGTTGTGTCCGTGTCACGCCAAGTGAACGGCACATTTGCTGGTCAGAACCGTCATCAGTACACTAGTCAGACAGGAACACGGTTCTATTGAACCCACCAAAGCACACAGTTTTGTTGTTGATCTTGCTATATTTTACTTTGGTTTTTTGTTTTGCTCTTCTTCTTATGATCATTTTTTTGGTATGTCTACTTTATTCCATGCCGTTCTTTGACTGGAATATGGCAGCATCGAGTCATACATGTCTGACATGTCAGGTTCTCCCTTTCTATTTAACTGTTTGGTTGGGGGGATAGCAGTAAATTAATAGTATAGTAGTGGCCGTGTGCATGACACACACATACACCACAGCATGAGCGTCACGCAGTCACGTGTTGTGAATGTGCATCTTATACACATATTCATTGTGTTTTCTTTTTTTCCTTATTTGTTATTTTGTTTCTGGGGGTGTGTCACGAGGGCCATGCTTACGTCAAGTGCCATATGAATGGGTTTTTGCATATTCTCGTTATCTGCAAAATTTGCAGCTATCAGCTATTCATGGCATGCAGCAGAAACCTTTGCGTAATGAGCCCGCTGCAAAGGCGGCAGGCTAGCCTCACTTTCCACAACGCATAGCTGTACATATATACATAAGCGACACAATGGGAGTGCGCTGCTGTCATCACGACATATTCTCAAGCCCCAGGATCTGCTTCTGTTGTTCACTCGGTTCGAAACGAATCTTTATTCTTGCTATTCCAGAGCACTCGCACGTGATGTCCCAAAGTGTGGCAAAGTAGTGGCTATTTACACGGGCAGCCATTACACGTCTCATCTTCAGCAGTTGAATCAATGTGTTAGAATTTATTTCCAATTCGAAGGTTATTCACCTCAATCACATTCGAGGACTTTACATGGACTGTTTGAATAGACCGTTCTGTAATCAATTTTAAGGATAGTTTCACTTTGCTTTTTGAAAATGTTTTGCTAGAACGTGCCGTTGTCAGATAACGTAACAACGTTCATCCTCTGATATGCAATGTATGCATGTATCTGTTCTGAACACTCTTCTGTGCAGATGCTTTGTCGATTATGGGACGCCCCTTTTAACTCACTTTTTTGCAGCTGCTTCCATTACAGCCCAAAGTTATCGCCTAACATGTACCGATCCCAAAGATGTGAAGTTTGTATAAATGCCAGCACTTTGTTATAATATTTGTCATATTTACAAAGCGTATTTCTATTGTTTACTCATATGTTGGAAAAAAGGCATACATAATACGGTACTGTTGGTGTGACGGCAATGCTTCGCTGCACATTATTCTTGTTTTATTGGTCAACAAACTAGTGCACAGTTGCACCATTGACATGTACAGTGTGGTACGCTGTTAAGAGGAACGCATAAGAGCATTGGGCAAACAATTCTATGGCTGCAACTATAGACAGTGATGGATCAGTGACGTAGCTGCAGGTGTCACTTAAAAGGCGTACAAACACACACCAGTAAGCAGTGTATACAGACATCTCCCTGTTCGTATCATCATCTGTGTGCTTGCATTCCTCGAGCTTTTTGCCTTAGAGCCAATATAAATAAGTGGTGAGCCTTTAAAAGCAGTGTTGATCTGCTGTGCCTTTCCCGGTGCATCTAAACAGTGGTGCCTGCCCATACATAATGTGAGGAAGGGTGGTAAGGGTTGTGGCAATAATATACTTTGTGTACAAGGCTGGCAAAACCTTTCTCCTCATTCCCTTCTTCAAACTAGTTTGTGTGACAATTTGTCTTGTCATCGCCAGGTCCTAACGTATCGGCTGCCCGCACGTGCGGTATGCGCCAACGGTATGCCTATTGTCACTGATCTGCCAGGTTTCCTCGTCTCCGTGATAACAACACTAGGGAGGGATTGCTGTCTTCAATTGCTGAGGGGTAAAATGGCATACCAGTCATACCTTTTGAGAAAAAGATGCCCCTCTCATTCTTGAATTGTCCCTGACCATAGTTTGGAAACCTTTTGTCATCTGGCGACGAATTGCGGTTTGTCTGTTCAGAGCTTTTAGTGGCAGCCATAGCCGGACTGCTCCCATTTTTTCACATCTGCATACACGTTCAACTTGGCAATGTGCCACACCATACATGCTAGTAAAGGCCACGTTCAACTGGTGGCGGGAAGGATATGATAGTGCTTACAGCCTCTTGATAGTGCTTACAGCTTACTGCTTTGCCAGTAAGCCTGCACCTGCATTGATACTAGTGGTGCTTGAGAACTGCCATGTTTCAGGCAGTACTAATTTGTCTAACCGCCGAGTCAGTCAGTGCATGCAATTTATAACTATAGACAACTGTGTACATATTCTCTATATGCATGTCTCCGTGTCTTTTTGGCTCATTTATTGTGTATACAAATTGCAACTACTAATATTCTTGTTAGTGTAGGCGATTCCGTCTTGCACGCACTTTTTGGGCACTCCCTTTCACTTAGGCTAGGATGGCCACCGATACAAGTTATAACACTTTGCTCTTTGGAAATGTTTTGCTAAAACCTGCCGTTGTCAGATAACGTAACAACGTTCATCCTCTGATATGCAATGTATGCATGTATCTGTTCTGAACACTCTTCTATGCAGATGCTTCGTCGACTATGGGACGCCCTTTTTAACTCAGCTTTTTGCAGCTGCTTCCATTACAGCCCAAATTTATCGCCTAACATGTACCGATCCCAAAGATGTAAAGTTTGTATAACATGCCAGCGCTTTATTATAATATTTGTCATATTTACAAAGTGTATTTCCATTGTTTACTCATATGTTGGAAGAAAGGCGTACATATTAGGGTACTGTTGGTGTGATGGCAATGCTTCACCCCACATTATTCTTGTTTTATTGGTCAACAAACTAGTGCACAGTTGCACCATTGACATGTACAGTGTGGTACGCTGTTAAGAGGAACTGCGTAAGAGCATTGGGCAAACAATCCATGGCTGCAACTATAGACAGTGATGGATCAGTGACGTAGCTGCAGGTGTCACTTGAAAGTTGCATAAACACACACCAGTAAGCAGTGTATACAGACACCTCCCTGTTCGTACCGTCATCTGTGTGCTCGCATTCCTCGAGCTTTTTGCCTCAGAGCCAATATAAATAAGTGGTAAGCCTTTAAAAGCAGTGTTGATCATGCTGTGCCTTTCCCGGTGCATCTAACAGTGGTGCTTGCCCATACATAATGTGAGGAAGGGTGGTAAGGGTTGTGGCAATAATATACTTTGTGTACAAGGCTGGCAAAACCTTTGTCCTCATTCCCTTCTTCAAACTAGTTTGTGTGACAATTTGTCTTGTCTTCGCCAGGTCCTAACGTATCGGCTGCTCGCACGTGCGGTATGCGCCAACGGTATGCCTATTGTCACTGATCTGCCAGGTTTCCTCGTCTCCGTGAAAACAACACTAGGGAGGGATTGCTGTCTTCAATTGCTGAGGGGTAAAATGGCATACCAGTCATACCTTTTGAGAAAAACGATGCCCTTCTCATTCTTGAATTGTCCCTGACCATAGCTTCGGAAACATTTTGTCATCTGGCGATGAATTGCGGTTTGTCTGTTCAGAGCTTTTAGTGGCAGCCACAGCCGGACTGCTCCCATTTTTTCACATCTGCATACACGTTCAACTTGGCAGTGTGCCACACCATGCATGCTAGTAAAGGCCACGTTCAACTGGTGGTGTGAAGGATATAATAGTGCTTACAGCCTCTTGAGGTTTGTACATGTCGGAACGATGTCTCAGCTCACTTAGTGTATGATTGTTCCTTCGCTTGCCCTGTGCAGTATCAAAAGCAGAGTTCTCATGTCAGGCCTCGTCTTGATGACCATATCCTGCAATGTACATTTTTTTTTGTTTTGGAGAATGCCGTTTTACCGATTTTAATTGAAGTGTTGTATACTTTTCCTGGAGGCTGACCCTCGTTAACCTGCTCATTTCTCAGCAACTCCATTGCTTATTTTTTTAACATGTGTATAAGCTTCTGCTGTTTGAAAGCAACAAAAGACTAGCTTTGAACAGCTTTAGCTAAAGGCACGACTATAGCAAACAGGCTGAAGAATTTACATTGCCAGCTGATTAAGGTTACACTCACTACCAGTGTTCTGGCGGTGTATTCAAGTTAACAGTGGTTAATATAGGTATTTCACCATCATTATATCTCAATGCTCATCCCCCAATTGCCCTTTGTCGTATGGTCATTAAGGTGACAATCTTTCTGGTCCACTTTCACTTCTCATGCAACTTGTGAATTTGTTGAAAAATTCTGGAATTTTGCCCAGATCATGTATAGTTGCGTCTATTTGTTCTTTGTTCAGAGCCTGTCTGCAGTACTCCACCACTTCTTGCCTAGCACTTTGTTTACAATTAAGTTCTTGCCTCACGTGATGTTGTGTACAAAAGACGTGCCATCTGTGGAGACATCTTTCCCATTAATATTGTTACGAGAAGGAGGCCGACTTGGAGGGGTAGTCACCGATGTAATTACAGCCGGTTAGGCAAGCAGTGCCAGCCACACAGATTAGCTCGCGCCAGTCTATCTGCTTTGTCTTCTTCAACTCCATGCACTGGCACGTAGCATGACCTTCGGCGGCGGAGGCACCGTCCGGTGCTTTAAAGGTCGTTATCTGACGCATTCTTGTAGGGCTTGATCCGCGAGACGTGTACTATATTACTGGGCCGCATAGTAGATGATGATGGATAGATGGGGCTGATCTCGTAGGCGACAGGTGTTACTTGACGCAATATACGATAGAGTCCCGTGTAATGAGACAGAAGTTTTTCTGATAGGCCCAGCCGGCGATGAGGGGACCAGAGTAAAATGAGGGTACCGGGAGCGAAATGTACGTCTCTATGTTCCGCATCGTACCGACGGCATTGGTTGGTTTTCGACGCCATCAGCCGAGCTCGAGCGAACTGAAGGGCATGATCGGCTCGCGCGATCGCGTCCCGGGCATACTCGCTGGTGGAGGAGGTGTCAGCTGAGATGACTGTGTCCAGTGGTAAAGCCAGCTCTCTTCCGTACAATAAGTAGAACGGCGAAAAGCCCGCTGTGACGGGATGGATTATACGTGAAAGTTGCGTAGGGTAAGGCAAGGTCCCAGTCTTGGTAGTCAAGCGACACGTACATAGCGAGCATATTTGTTGAAGTGTGGTTAAATCATTCCATGAGGCCGTTTGTTTGAGGGTGGTAAGCGGTTGTCAGTGTGTGCTGCGTGGAACAAGAACGCAGAATGTCGGCGATGACTTGGGATAGAAATGTACGGCCACAGTCTGTGAGAAGCTGTCTCGGAGCACCGTGGATCAATATAACGTCCCGTAACAAAAGTCAGCAACGTCGGTTGCACAGCTGGTCGGGAGAGCTCATGTAATAGCGTGGCGTGTAGCGTAGTCTGTAATAACGGCTATCCATTTCTTTCCCAATGTTGATGTGGGAAAAAGACCAAGCAGGTCTAATCCAACACGGTAAAATGGTTCCGCGGGTATGTCAATTGGTTGAAGATGGCCAGCGGGCATACGATGCCACCTTGAACAGTCAACAACGGGTACCATTTGCACCATCGGTGCAGTGCCGTATGCTTTTCGCTCTCCCGCTGTTATGTTCATTATGTTGAGTGCTCTCGAAGGAAATCTCAAAGCGATATGCAGAGGCACAAAACTCAAACTTTCTACATCAAACTCTGGCCCCACTACGGTGGTCTAGTGGCTAAGGTACTCGGCTGCTGACCCGCCGGTCGCGGGATCAAATCCTGGCTGTGGTGGCTCCATTTCCGATGGAGGCGGAAATGTTGTAGGCCCGTGTACTCAGATTTGGGTGCACGTTAAAGAACCCCAAGAGGTCGAAATTTCCGGAGCCCTCCACTACGGCGTCTCTCATAATCATATGGTGGTTTT